TGGTTTCACTAAAGCTGTGAACAATATCTTTAAAATTTCACCATCCTTGTATTCAAAAATGTTTCTGGAGTTAGAAAGCATAGCATAGGCTCCTTGCACAGTGTCCTTCATGTGATCCTGAGATGATAGTTTTGTCTGAAACCACTCTTAGATCTTTATTTTAGTTATAAGAGTTCTCCTTTTCCACATTCCATAACATGGCATTTATTCACATTGAATATCATTTGGCAAGTGTTAAAATCATCAGCAAACATGTTCATATAATTCTGTATTTCCTACAGTAGATTGATTATATAGTCAACTAGAACAGAATCTTGTGGTAGTCAACTTGTAATATTTTTCAAATATAGTACAATACATTGCATTGTATGTAATTTATTGTACCATATTTAATACAATGGTACAAGTATGGGACAATGATACAAGTATGGTACAATACTCCTCCAACATGTTCTTGCCTCCAGAACTACCTCTTGAGTGGGACTCAATTTTTTTTTTTTTTTATATAAAGAGGTTTGGGTGGGCACAGATATTAGGTATATAGTGGGTAGGTAGAGGTGTTAGAGGGCAGTTAGTGTGGGGCAAGGTCGAGAGAATGAACAATAGTTATGGTATAAGTGAGAGTGAGTGTTGGAATAGTAGTCCATGACAGGAATAACCTTTTCAGTGGGAAGTGAAAGCTCACCTTACTTTTTATCACCTGATTTCAGGAAACAATTGGTTAGCCATTTCCAGATGTAGAGAATGGGTATTTATCACATATGTAATATTACTTTTAATATTGATCAACTTAGTGATGAATCAACTTTAGTTGATCAAGAATTTGAGTGTATAATGAGGTGATGTAGTCCATGAGAAAACATGCACCTGGCAACTGAGGCCAGACGGGGGAAGGTGTGAGGGTTGACAACTAGTCAGTATTGGTGGCTGTTGACCATGTGAGCACTTGTATAGTGGTCGGTGAGCCTCTCTTGATAATAACAGTGCCTTCAGGTTGTATCTTGACTCAGTGCTGGTATCTGATACCATGTGCTCTTGGTGTATATGTTGGGTAGTAGACATGCAGTGGGTATTCTGTGTGAGTGAGAGCCTACCATATGGAGTGTCAGGAGGCCTGTGTGTTGAAACACCTTCCTCATGATGGGGAAGTACTTAGTCTAGGAAATTGTTGTGCCTGGAGGTGGGCTTTTATGTTCTTGGAACAATTTCCTGTAACCTGATTAAGAAAAGGTTGTCCTGCATATATGTCACAGCTCCTGTACAAAATGAAATTACCTCAGCTGTATATTGATTATGGGAAGCTTTTCTTGTGGATTCTCCTTTTTAGTGTGAGTATAATCAAAAATTGTATTTTGTAATGCCTTCAGCTTAGCATAACCTGGAACAGTATTTTTGTGCCTTTACCACAGTTAAATTATAGATGAAATTGTAGCAAAAATATGCACTGAATTTCATTTTAATATTTTTGTATAAAACTTTTAGTACAGTGGGCTTCATTCTCAACTCACAATCAGGGATCGAGGGTTTGAGTCCTGGGCAGGATAGAAATGGTTGGGCACATTTCTTTTCACCTAAAGTTTGTTTTCCCGTAGCAGTAAATAGGTACCCAGGAGTTAGACAACACATATACATACATACATACATACAGTATGTATGTACTGTATATACTGTATATTTCATTGAATATGACCGCATATTCCGTGTTGATTATTTTCTTGTTTAGGGCTTATATCCCTCTAACTAGTGCTCTTGCATCATGGTTTAATTGGAAGATAATTTTCTGAATGTCAAATTTGTCTATGGTTGACTGAAAGAACAAAAACTAACTATAATGTACTGTACTACACTTATTATAATTGACACAATGAACCTTGTAGGTTCCAAACATTCTCAAGTGAGGAATGACAAGACATGGAAAATGTCTAATTTATAACACTAGAAGGTCAGATATATACAAAATGACTTACGAAAAAAGCAGAAATAAATAAAGAGTAGAGGAAAAGTGAGGTGATGGCCAATAAAATAAGCATACAAAATGTTGTTTGACTAAATTGAGGTGACCATAATGGGCATGGTGTTTCTGGGCAGTGAAGTCCTAAACAAGAAAATAATCAACAAAAGTGGCAGCAGGGAATACCCTCTTAATTATAGACCCATATCACTGACAAGTGTAGTATTCAAAATATTGTAAAATATAATTAAAACCAAATGGGTAGAACACTTGGGAGAAAAATGATATAACACAGACAGCCTGGTTTTCGATCTGGAAGATCCTGTGTGGAAGACTGCCCAATGAAAAGAATGAGCAGTCTGCCAGCCAGGAAGACTCTGGACCCTCAAAACGTACCCAATACGGGGAAGAAGAACCAAACTCAAATAAGGACGGAACCATCACGGAGGCGGAATCCGAGTCTCGCAGGAGGTACGCAGCAAGAACTTCCCGAACCTCCCTAGGGGAGATACAAGAGGCAGAAAATCTCTGGAAGGACAGGGCCAAGGCACCCAAGGGAGCCCAGAACCAAACCCGGGGAGGAGCTGACCCCGGACATTTCGGGGAGGAGCTGACCCCAGACATTTCGGGGAAAAGTTGACCCAGGACATTTCGGGGAGGAGCTGACCCCAGACATTTCCGGGAGGAGTTGACCCCCTTTGTACAAGGAAGGGAGGGTAAGAGACCCTCCCCTGTAATAACAAGCCCCATGAAAAAGGCACCAACACCCAAGCGGGGGTCAAAGGGGGTCCAAGGCCTCGGGTCGATTCCTCCCCAGCCCCAGAATCCCCGAAGTCAGGACCCTGGGCAGAGCAGTCCTCCATACCCTCTACCCCTGAAAAAAAGGCAGAATCCAGGAGAAAGGCTGAAAAAATAGTGGGGCCTGTTGGTGGGCCCCAGAAGCCTCGGTAGGAGGAACCGGCTCGAATGCCTCCATCCCCAACCCAAATGGGGCAGTCCCCCGAAGCTGCCCAAGTCTCAGTACCAACTAAACCCTGTCCCGACTCCTAAACCTTCAGACATTTGGGAGCCGGAAGCAGGGGAAGGGGGGAAGCAGAGTGAACAACACGGAAATGATCAGGAAGCGCAGACTGAATCAAGTCGAAGTGACCAACATCCCCAGGTCTGGGTTCCTATTACCGAAGCGGGGCAGTCTCGGGGCATCCGGGTGGGAAACCAACCTAGCGTGTTGCAGCAACCTGAACTTAGCATGTAATGCCAATGCTGCCTGTACCCTAACAGTAATGTCATCAGAATAATACTGGAGAACAAACAGAGAACACAACTCGTGAGACTCCGGGTCAAAGGTGTCGTCGACACAATAGGCAGCGTGATGGTGGCAAAAGAGGTGACTGTCACCCTGAGACAAATGCACATGTCAGCAACCTTTGAACCTGTATCAATAGGTCCACCGAACCCTGGCAGGGTTTTCCAGGGCCCGTAGGCTGACTATTACGGGAAGCCTGGGCAAGGTGTTGCTAGCCGGTTAAGACCCAAAGCTAACAAGGGGTAGATCAAAACACTGAAATCCCTGCAACATGTACAGTCATGGAGGCCTAGCAGAGGGCCACCAAAATACTAGAAGTGGAACTATAGCCACACCAGACAAGCCCCCACCAGGCAATAAAAACCCAAAACAAAAGAAAAACCCCGCAAAAGTATAACATCTCCAGAGGAAACAGGAACTGGCCGCCACATAGGTAGGCAGGCTGCACAACACCTTGATGCCACAACCAGCATCTATCCATGGCCAAACAAGGACCATGAAACTCCACCTGTCCTCAAGGGCGGGGTAAGTGCTGAGCAGCAAAAACCCCTATGGAAATGGTTCCCGAATGCACCAGGGAAGAGAACCCTAACACGCAAGGGCAGTACTCACAGGGCGTCTAGGGAAGAATGCCCCTAAGCGCATGCAGCCCAGGTACTCTTGAGGACAGCAGGCCACCACACAACACTGCTGCAGAGGTCGCCACGAAGGCAAAACACCACCTTGGAATTTGAGGCCAGAGAAGATGTCTGCCCCGGACCACATTAGCGTACGAACTGAACTGCTAGGTAGCTGGTGCGGGGAGGTCCGGGGGCTCCTCCGTCCCCTTCTCAGGGAGGGGAGGGCTGTGCGGATGAGGGACGCGACAGTGGAGTGTGGCGTTTGCGTGTTTGCTAGTTTCCTTGGGATTGGTAGGATTTCTGCCCCTCTCTTCGGGTTTTAGTTGCAATTTTCTTACCGCGTGGGGTTTGTTTTATTATGCCTACCTTTCTGGGTGCCTAACCCCAGTCGATGGCAGATAAGGAAAAACCCCAACCACAGGGGAATTTTCCAGGGCCATTGCTCCCTGCATCTCTCTCTAAGGGTCCAGGTTCTGGCTCATGGTCCCTGGTAGGCTGAACTCCATAGACTAATGCACCTGTCTAATGTATCAGATATTAGCCCGATAGCTTCAAGGAGACGAAGGGGCTCCCCACAGAAAAGAGGTGATTCTACATACAAAATAAATAGGGATATAATCAAAATAAATATATATAAAATAATCAACAAAATTGATAGGGAAGAATTCCTGAAACCTGAAACTTCAAGAACAAAGGTCATAGCTTTAAATTAACTAAACAAAACTGCCAAAGTAATGTAAGAAAATTCACTCACAGATAGTGGTAGATGGTTCGATCAAGTTAAATGAGGTGGTGGTGGAGGCCAAAACCATTAGTAGTTTCAAAGCGATATATATATGACAGAGTACTGGAGTACTGGGAGATGGGACACCACGAGTGTAGTTCTCATCCTGTAACTACATTTAGGTAATTACACACTCTCTTCCTATCTCTGACAAAATTAATTATTATTTATATGTAGTGTTTAGTTGTTAGTGGGATATGCATGAATTTAATGTGACATATCCAAGTACAGTGTTCATGATGGCTACCTTGAGGCTCTATGGGTATGTAATTTTTTGTACCTGCCAGTCTATGGATCCCTAATGTTCAAATTTATTAATTGTACCTCTTCACTCTACAGGCATATGGGCAGCTTGAATTTTTGAAAATGAATGTGAGCGGCTTGGGAAATGAGGGTGGAGGTGTGAACGCCTCTGCCTCGTCCATCTTGGAGTACAGTGATGGACAGATCTCAGAGGTGGCCTTCTCCAATCTCTATCCAGCTGTTATTGAGTGTTTTCTCATTATCCTCTGTGGGTAAGTATTCTGTCAATGAAGCAGTATTAACGCTGATGGCTTTTTTTTGGGGGGGGGGATGGAATTATGGTTGTGTGGGTAGAAGTACCGTACTGTACTGTAATAACATTTAGAAATACTGTACTGTACTTATCTTTTTCTTTACTGGTGCAGATCATATTGACTGTTCAGGCTCATTGCAATTTAGTTTCTCATAAAGCATTAAAATTGTTTTAATAATATTGTAGAATTGGTTCTTTTCATAAATATCCATAGTAATATGGAAATTAATAAATTAAACAAAAATGTTCACATCTAAACAATTTCAAATTGTAGTTGCATCATGGTGAGGAGGTGAGCTGACTGACCCACCATGTAGTCAGGACTAACAGCTTTCCATGTTTGTTTACAGGTACGTGGCAGGTCGCTGCAATCTCATATCGCAGATTGAGTCCAAGGGTCTCAACACATTCGTGGGGACGTTCTCACTCCCAGCCTTAATATTCATGTCCATGGCACAATTAGATTTCAGGTTAGAAACTTTATTAATGTTTTAGTTTATTTTTGTACTGTAAATATATTAGCTAGTGTAATTTTTCTTTGTCACCATTGTTTATTTGTCATTTCCATGTATTTTCCAAATGTTGTATTTTCCGTCTATGACTTAATAAAATGTTTTCCCCTTGTGGAAACCAAGTAAATATTTACTTATTGTGTGGTATTGTTTAATAATGTGTCAGGATTAAGGTTTTCTTTTATCTAATGTCATCTTGTGAATTAACTTTTCAGTGCAGTCAATTGGATGTTCTTGTTGGCAATCTGCATTTCTAAAGCGACTGTGTTCTTCCTGGTGATCCTGGTAACTCTGTTTGCTTACCGACCTGTTGATTTTGGTAAAGCTGGACTGTTTGCCATCTTCTGTACACAGAGCAATGACTTCGCTCTTGGCTACCCCATCAGTGAGTGCTATGCCTTTCATTTTGACTTCTACTCCTGTTTTGTGTGTGTTTCAATTTGTTTGTATTTGTGTATGTGTATAAATTTGTTTGTAAGTAATAACATTTTGAACAATAACTTAGCTTCCTAACAAAATCTTTAAAATGTATACTTAACCCTGCCAAATATGGTTAAAATTGAGCTATATTAGTAGTGCCTGTATATGCCATATCTACATTTTATGCAGTATAAGTAACAGGGGGTTCCCCTTGCTTGATATGAGCATTTAATCCTAAACATTGCTTGAAATATGGAAAGGTTTTTCTTGCCAAAATGCCTAGTAAGTTGGTTAGATCTTCAAGTGTACTCATTAGGTATTAGTTTGAATAATTTTTGCACTTGAAACACTCCATATTTTGAGCACCTTCCATTGTATCCAACACTGCACATCTACATATTGCTATGTAGTCACACTGGCTTAGTGCCTTCTCCTGATAATGGCTTTACCTTACCACATCCTTGTTCTGTGATGACATGCAACATAAGAATAAAGGTATCTGCAGAAGACCTAATGGCCCATATGAGGCAGCTCCTATTTATAACCACCCAATCTCATTCATATATATTTTTCTAACATACGCTTGAAATGATCAAGGGATCCTACTTCTATTATGTTACGCGGTAATTGGTTCCATAAATCAACAACCCTGTTACTGAACCAGTATTTACCCAGGTCTTTCCTACATCTAAACTTATCCATACTCATTGTTTCGTGTTCTGTTTTGTGTTGATGCTTTTAATATCATATTAATATCCCCCTTTGTTATGTCCATTCATCCACTTGTACACCTCTATCATGTTACAACTAACACATCATGGAATTTACAGCTGAAATCCAACATGTTTATTTTCCCGTACAGTTGCTGCACTCTACGGCAACACTCACCCCGAGTTTGCCTTGTATCTGTACCTGGTCGCCCCAATCTCCCTGGTCATGTTAAACCCCATCGGCTTCATTCTCATGGAGGTAAGACCACTTTCACCTGTTTTCACTCAGTTTTGCACGTTTCCCTAATGCCTATTTTATGTATATATATTTTTCAATAAAATTTTCAGGCCAGTGAGTACAGGAATGAGATGGGCTAAATAATGTTTCCATTTACAAATACTAATATTAATGATTTTATTTTGTACAATGAAGCTCTTGTTTTACTATAAAAAAGTAATGTTTTGTAATGTATTAAATCATATTGAATTAACAATATACATTAAGGATTGATTGTACTGTACATTATCAATAAAAAGAGCACAATGATCCTAATTATGATAGGTTTAGGAAATGGCACAATAGTTTGTAGTTCCTAAAAATGGAGTCGATTGATGGAGATTAAGCTACCCAAGAGGTGGCACAGGCATGAGTAGCCCATAATGGATGTAGTTGACTATTGGTGTGGACTCTGCTGCTTATTTAGCATTAAAGAAATGATCTTAAGCACATGATCTTGACATCAGTCTTAAATGTTGTTTCTATTTCTAATCCAACCTGAGAGAAGGATCTTGTGCATGTCAATGTCTGCAGATGATAGTGCTGAGGAAAGTAAACACTGAGGAGGACTAGTGTGCTGCAGGAAGACCTTGACAAATTCCATAAGTGGACAGATAAATGACTTTAAGAGTTCAACCCTCATAAGTGTAAGGTAATGAGACTGGAAATGGGTAATAGGAAGCCAGAAGGACTCTACATCATAAGAGAAAGCAACAACATGAATCTGGAAAGCAGAGAGTCTTGAGTGGATTTAATTTCAGCACTAATAAGTCATATAAAAAAGAATAGCATTGCAGCATATGGAAAGATTTAAAAAGTTATGCCAAATTCTTTCAAGGCTAATATTAGAAAACACAGCAAACATATTACAAAAATGTCTTGGATGCAGAGGGCTACGAGGCTGTTTGTAAAAGGGTAGACTTCTCTTCCCAATGGTCACCTAGTGCTTCTGACTGACTTGTTATATACATGTTATGATATACTGTATGCACAGAGGGGGTTTTTTTTTTTTTATTAGGGACATTTCATAGTAGTGTTCGTAAAATCTGCCCGTCATAGCTGTGTTAGGAAAAAAATGGCATGGAACACCTCCCATAGTTATTTTGCAGTTTCTATTCTACTTTATTTACATATTTATTTATATCCAAATTTTTACATTGTTTATCTTAAATGGTTGCTATATGTAATTACCTACCTTGCCTTGAGGTTACCTTGAGGTGCTTCCGGGGCTTAGCGTCCCCGCGGCCCGGTCGTCGACCAGGCCTCCTGGTTGCCGGACTGATCAACCAGGCTGTTGGAAGCGGCTGCTCGCAGCCTGACGTACGAGTCACAGCCTGGTTGATCAGGTATCCTTTGGAGGTGCTTATCCAGTTCTCTCTTGAACACTGTGAAGGGTCGGCCAGTTATGCCCCTTATGTGTAGTGGAAGCGTGTTGAACAGTCTCGGACCTCTGATGTTGATAGAGTTCTCTCTCAGAGTACCAGTTGCACCTCTGTTTTTCAACGGGGGTATTCTGCACATCCTGCCATGTCTTCTGGTCTCATGTGATCACCTAAGTGTGATTACCTAAGTGTAGTTACAGGATGAGCTATGTTTGTGGTGTCCCGTGTTCTCGGTACTGGCATATGACGATTTGAAAAATATTGATGATTTTGGCATCCATCAGCTTCTCACTTAATTTGTTTCAAATCATCTACCACTCTGTTTGCAAAAGAAAACTTTATTGAACAGATCCACAAGGGCCATGATAAAAAACTTTTTAATATTTGTTCTTAATCTGAAGTTTCCTGTTTAAGTTAAAAGGCTAAGGACAAAATAATTAATGAATTAAAATGTAAATATTTCATTGGGGGTCTTATTTATTCTCCAGATTGGGAAGCGTCGCAGAAATAACCAGGACAGAGATGAAGGCTCCGTCTCGGTGACCAAGGAGAGTAGGTGCAGTTTGGTGCTTCAGATCCTTCGTGATGTTCTACTGAATCCCATAGTACTTATGACGACCCTGGGCATTATTGGGAATTTTATTTTTAACCACAAGCTACCAAATATCTTGGAAGGAATTTTAAAGGTGAGAAGAGTTTCTCATAAGGCATTTTTATGCTAGATATTATGACTACTGTGATGTGCCGAGTTTATTGTGCCATTGCCTGTGCTCATGAAATCAAGTGTTCCCAATTTTTTTTATTTTTTGTTTGTAAAATGATAAATTTCCTTCCCTGAACAGTCTATGTAAAAATAAATACCAAATTCCACTATGGCTGTGGGAAAATGGACATGGTGTGCAGTGACATAATCGATGCTGGCCGCCCATGCGTGTAAGTCCCAAAGGAAGTCGCGCGGGCCATTCAAGCACCGCGAGTTGCCACAAATATATTTTCAATTATTTATTCTATGTATTTCCAATGAAAGTTTTATTTTTTTATTTTATTTTATCGTATATGATGCATATTTGTGTCCTTTACAATATGTATACAATAGAACATTCATAATGTTCCATGGAACTGTGATACATGTGTCAGTAATGTGTCCACAATAAATGTTTATTGTTGCAATATTACGTGTTAAAAATTCACTAAAATTACAATATGTACAGTTTCACACACTACACAGTAACGCACTGTACAGTATTGCACACTCAGTACTTCGGAAGTGAGTGATAATCAATGAAATTGTCCATGGTACACAGCGCGACTTCGCTCTCATTGCACGAGGTACAGATAGATTTTCACTTACTGTTTCTTCATTCTGTGTGCTTGCAAATAACGCACTCACATACACCCTTGGCTTTAGTACTTGTAGGTGGTATGTAGCCAAGCTTGTAAAGTGTAAGGTAGTTTGTGAAGGTAATCCTTTAAAAGATTATAGAAAAGATAAATTTGTAAGATAGTCTTGAAAAGATCGCTTTGTAAGGTCCCTCACTGGAAGAGATTCGGTCAATCTGAAAGAGATTCGGTCATTCTCAAAGAGTGTCAGTCAATTTAGAAGAGATTTAGCCATGCTGGAAGAGATTCAGCTATTCTTGAAAATATCTATGGAAAACACCACCATGGAAGCTGCTAACACTGTTCATCTATGCTACTTGTATCAGATGCATCATCACTGAACACACAAAATGATTCATATATGTATCATCTATATAAATTGGAGATGGCATAGGTAGACAAGGGTGGCGCTCAGAGCTACAACCAGATACGCTCACTGTATCGTCCTCATTGATGCTGTATCACTTGCATCCAACCTTTGTGTTAGGTCCCTATTGCATCTAGCTTCACCAATATCATGACCCTTATGTTCTTCAAAAAATAAGGTCTGAATTTCACCGACAAAGCGCGATCTTTCAACACCATGTCAGACAGGTGTTTGGCAGCCAGAGGCACGTGGGGCACCCATGGTTGCTCACTCAGTACTAACCCAGCCAGCAGCCCTAAGGCATTCTGGGAATTTTTTCCAAGATGGCTGCCTCTCTGGAGGTCTTAAGAGTCCATTTCATACACAACCTACCGTGCACACATTTTGAATGGGTACAAAATACTGTATTCAAAAGGTGTTTTCTCGGTTGGCGCAGTTTTAATTGACATAATGACACTGACATAATGGCAGTGCAGGTCTGGACTCAGGATGATAAACTGATAATTATAATTGTCTACAGCCCTTTAGCAAGCAAAACAACTGACCGAGTTTTCTCGGTTGGCGCAGCACAGTGGTTAAAGTACAATACAGTACTGTAGGCACTGAGTCATATGTTAAGATTCAGTAATCTTTTGGTTATCCAAGCTACTTTAATTATGGCTGGATCCCATTTGGTTTTATTTTGACTTGTGGAGAGTTTAGACCAGGGGTGCAGTGCCAGTTTTATAGGTGCCGGAGCTCTGGTGGGCCTGACAAAAGCTTGTCATTTCCTATCCTGTTTCCATATACAGTATGTCACATGATTAAGTATTTTGTGTTTGTACTCACTAATTATCATAAAATATAATTATCAAACAAATAAAGAAAAAGACATTCATCATGTATTTATCAATTTAAGAAGGTAAAACACTTAAGTTCTCACAAAATACAAACAGTGAGAAGTTTCACAATAGTTTCCACAAAGGGTCAGGTGTGAGATGTTTTCAACGGTGTGAAGCCACTCTTGTTCTGGTGTCATCTGCCGATCTGTGGTACCGCACCCATGATATACAGTCTCATACAGTCATACAGATATATACAGATATACAGAATTCAGTCAACATACAGTCTCCGTGGTGTAGTGGTAAGACACTCGCCTGGCGTTCCGCGAGCGCTATGTCATGGGTTCGTATCCTGGCCGGGGAGGATTTACTGGGCGCAATTCCTTAACTGTAGCCTCTGTTTAACGCTACAGTAAAATGTGTACTTGGATGAAAAAACGATTCTTTGCGGCAGGGGATCGTATTCCAGGGACCTGCCCGAAACGCTACACGTACTAGTGGCTGTACAAGAATGTAATATATGTAAATGTATATGGCATAGGGCTCAGGATTCCACTGAACTAGAGGAGGTCCATGTAGTTTAACAAACATAAATGCTGATACACGATTTATGTATAACAACACACACCAACTTACCCTTATAGTTGAAATCCTTGGGTATATTTGTAAGAGGTAAGTTGATATAGAAAGGGGATAAATATGGATGGAGTAGCAAGAGTGTGTTCTAGAGATTTGTTTGGAAATTAATGCACAAAGGAAGGAACTGAGAAAAGAATTAGTGTGTTTGTAAATGTGGCCGAGCATATGCTCGTAATGAGTGTGTTAATGGCAAGGCAGGATATGTAATAAAGGTATGATTAGATTTTCTCTATGTAAACTGCTTTGTTGTCTGGTTGAAGAATGTCAGCAAGAGATAGATGCTGTTTTGGGTGAAATTCAGTAGAATATAGATCATTTACTATATAGTATTGGCATATGAGTGAGGGTAATTGGTTTGTTCTCAGAGATGGACCTACTATAACATTATGGTGCCAAACGTAGTGCAGTACAGTATAATGCTTTCTTAAGTGTTCCTTCACTCCGATTGACAATATATTTAGCGATATTAGGATATAACTAGGAATTAACCATTGGTATTTAATAATTATTGTTATGCATATACACATACATTTATATGTATGTATGTATGTTGTATAATGCAGTATTTTACAAGGTAAATCCTCAATATTTTAAGCAGAAGAAATATTTGGGAAGTGGGGGGGAAAAGCTAGTTCCCCATTTTCAAGTTTGCAAGATGACAAAGTTTCCCAGAATGTTTGTCATCTTGCCATTCCACAAATCTATCAAATCATATTTTTCTGTTGTAGGTTTTTGGCCAAGCCTTTTCTGCAGCAGCACTCTTCCTCCTGGGCCTCCGCATGGTCGGCAAAGTTCAAACTCTTAGGGGATCTGGTCTCGTTATTCCAGGAATCCTCATCGCTACCAAAACGTAAGTTGAAAATGGGTGCTTACTCCTAGCCTACTCTGAGCATCAATCTGAAACATGCACAGTCCTTAGGTTGGAGAGTCTGTGGACTTAGGTCCACAGTCCCAATTGCATGACATTGGTTTTAACAGGTCTTTTGGGCATATTTGTCAAGATTGAATAACACAAAAGATAAGATGCCCAGATGCCTTTCTCAATATCAACACTTCAGATACCACCACATTACTGATTTATTTCTAGTCCTCTGACCATGTATGTAAGCATGTGTGCATGTGATTGCCTGCCAAATAGGCACAGTAATTACATAGGGATGCAAGCACACCAGCCTCTGCAGCTGCTAAAATTTCATCATTGTAGCTATTTAGAGGAGAGTTTGTGGGCTACATAATAGTTCTCCCAGGAAACATGAGCATCTACAAAATAGAAAGTGTTTAACCCTTAGCTGACTCAGCTGTCAGGGCCCCCATGGGGGCCTGACATGTTCATGACTTTTGCCAGACCAAAATTGGAATATGCAGCAGTTGTATGGTGCCCATATCTCAAGAAGCATGTCAACAAACTGGAAAAGGTACAAACCGTCCGTCTAATTACCACAAGCTACCACTTGCTACACAAGCTTCACTAAGCTTCCTGGCAATACGTTAGTAATGAGTAAATATGATATATTTACTCATTATAATGTTGGTGCTGAATGTTCAACACTGAAAAACATAATTTTAATCTGAAAAAGTATCTTTTTATAAAGAAATTAGACGAAAATAAAGCTGGTGACACCAAATCAAGTCGACGATCCAAGCGCCGGTTAGGTTAGGTTTGGTTAGGTTTGGTTAGGTTTGGTTAGGTTTGGTTAGGTTAGGTTTGGTTAGGTTAGGTTAGGTTAGGTTTGGCTAGGTTTGATTAGGTTAGGTTGGGTTAGGTCAACCTAACCTATCATTTTTTTTTTTTTTTTTTTTTTTTTTTTTTTGAGATATATACAAGAGTTGTTACATTCTTGTACAGCCACTAGTACGCGTAGCGTTTCGGGCAGGTCCCTGGAATACGATCCCCTGCCGCGAAGAATCGTTTTTTCATCCAAGTACACATTTTACTGTTGCGTTAAACAGAGGCTACAGTTAAGGAATTGCGCCCAGTAAATCCTCCCCGGCCAGGATACGAACCCATGACATAGCGCTCGCGGAACGCCAGGCGAGTGTCTTACCACTACACCACGGAGACTGCTTATTCATTACTAACGTTTTGCCAGGAAGCTTTGTGAAGCTTGTGGTAGCTTGTGGTAATTAGACGGACCTGGTGCAAAGGTTTGCTACAAAATGGCTTCCAGAACTGAAAAACAAGAGTTATGAAGAGAAGCTAGAGGCGTTAAATATGCCAAAACTATAAAAAAGAACAAAGAGAGACGATATGATCAGCACTTGCAAAATAATGACTGGAATTGACTAAATTAACAAAGAGGCATTCCTGAAACTGACAACCTCAAGAACAAGAAGAACAAAAAAAAATAAAAATGTTAAAGTTTTCTTTTGTAATCAGAGTGGTGGACAGTTAGAACAATTTAAGTGACTGTTACAACTCTGGGTCCAGTGTTGCCTGTGACAGATGGACCCAGGATTGTATGGCATTGTTTACATATAGATGATGTAGGGATCCTTCGTATGTAAAAATACATACCTATGTATGTATTATTATTGTGACAGGCCCTAAATATGGTGAGAATATTGTAATAAGTACAGTATTAAATGATAAGACTAGTTAGGTTTGGGGTTAAGAAAGGAATATATTTGTGTATATCTGTGAGGAGCCCTTTCGGCTTCCTGGAGCTATCAGACTGATATACTGTATGCTATACAGTATTAGTCTGGGGCATCGGTCAATGGACTTTTGCCTACTGGGGCCATGAGCTAGAACCTGACACCCCCATCAGAGAAGCACAGGGAGCAATGGCCTATAGAAACCCCCATGTCGTTGGGAGCATTCCATGTCTGCCATCGACCGGGGTTAGGCACCCAGAAAGGTAGGCATAACAAAACCCTTTCTGGTAAGAAATTGTAACCAAAGATCAAGCAGACAGACACAATTCCCCCCCCCCCCCCACCCAAAAAAAAAAAAAACATGGAAACAATCAAACAAGCAAACGTCATTCACTGCCACCGTGCCGCTTGTCCATACAGCCCTCCCAAGGGGGAGGGGGTAGACTCCTCCGTTCTTCGTGTCTGGTCTTCTTGACACAGGTATATCACCACTTGTATGGTGTTCAGGTGGCTTCGTTGATGGTGTTCCACCTGCGAGCTTTGTTTCGGCAACAGTCGAGAAGTTTCCTGGCATTCTTTCCTCTCTCTTTATAGGTTGTCTTCTATTTCTGTTCGGGTTGTTTTGTCCTTTCTTTCTTGGCCTTTTCAGGATCATCATTTGATTCCAAATACTGTCACCTCATCGTGCAGTGCTGGCAGAGCCGCTCCAGCTTGCATTTGGGGTGGATGTCACTTCAGCCCCGTTTTGCAAGCTTTTTCATGCTTTGTTTCACCTCTGGCCTGCTCCTGTGCTGCCTGAGCCGTCCTGATCCTTGGACCGGTTTGTGGTGGCCCCTTCGGTTCAGGATTGTTTTTCCATGGCTCTATTTCTGTTGGCATTGGCCTCTGCTTGATACCTGCTTGATGGGGTTCTGGGAGTTCTTCTACTCCCCAAGCCCGACTTGAGGCCAGGCTTGACTTGTGAGAGTTGTAAGAGAGAGTTGCGAAAGCTCACCCATTCGTTCCCCTACTGGGGGACGAATGGGTGAGCTTCATGCTCTTCTCCAGTGCAAAGGTTTCTGCTCTTTTGATCCTGGTGGTCGGTTTGTTCGGTTGCAGCCGTCTCTTCTTTTTGGGCAAAGAACGAGACGGCGGCCTTCCAGAGGGATCCATAGGTCATTGATGTGTGGATGGTCAGGCCGGGGGTGCATCATGTGTTGTGTCCGGTTGCGACTCTTCACCGTTTTTTACGTGCCGCAGCTTCTGTAGCCGGGGACGCTCTTTGTGTTAATCCGGTTTCCCTCGTTCCCCTGTTCCAGGGCTTGGGTCTCCCAGGTCATCCGCAGGGTTATCAAGTCTAGCCAGCCTGCGGTCTACCCTCGTGCCCAGGATGTCCGTACATTTGCTGCTTTGGCTGCCATGTTTGGCAACATGTGTTGGGCTGACATTTGGGCGCAGGGGTTTTGGAGGACGAACAGGGTCCTGGCCGTTCGTTATATGGTCAATATTCCTGGTTCCGGTCGTTCGTGTGTGGTTTTTGGTCACAGGTTGCAGCCAGTTTTCTCGACTTCGAGTTAATGTGTGCATGGCTGCAGCCTCCCGGGTATGTCCCTCTTTTACTTGTCCTTGGTTAGGGAGGGATTTGCTCCAGGGAGCCAAGGGAGCTCATCACAGAAAACCAGCATTGAGTGTTGAAACACTATTTTCTGGGTGAGCCCGGAGGCTCCCTGGCAGCCTCCTTCCCTTCGGTCAGAGGAAAGAGGGAGGAAAGGGCTGCTGGGCAAGCAGCGCTGCTGCTGTGGTGAATGACGTTTGCTTGTTTGTTTCCATATGTTTTTGAGGGAGTTCTGTCTCTGTTCGGTCTTCGTTTGCAATTTCATACCAGTTGGGGTTTGTTTTGTTATGCCAACCTTTCTGGGTGCCTAACCTCAGTTTGGCAGACCTGGAATACTCTCAAATACATAGGGGTTTCTATAGGCCATTTCTTCCTGTGCCTCTCTGAGGGGGCCAGGTTTTGGCTCGTGGTCCCAGGTAGGCAGAACTGCATTGACTGATGCCCCAGACTAATATAATGAATATCAGTCCGATAGCTCCAGGGAGCCAATGATGCTCGCCCAGTAAATGGAGTTTCATTACATTCATACAGGCTGGCTCTTACCCGGGATGGCGGGCGATTGCATCCTTGCTAAACGTAAGAGCATTTTGATGATCCTAGCTAGATAGTTACACTGTGAAAATATTTTGTGTAGTGAATTTTAAAACTAAGATGTTACATTTATACTTAGAATTGAATGGGGGTAATTAAATATTGAATTAGAGAATAAGAAAATGGTTCCTGTACGATCAGTCGATAAAGCCAGGCAACCAGCCGCATGGCATGAGCTCGCTCTCTTGTGTGCTGGACTTTGGGCTGTTGGATGTAATGGCTGGGCGTTCCACTCCTCCTCCTCCTGTAAGTTCTCTAGGTTTTTACTGAGTTAAGGACCCTCTTGATTTTAGTGCCACCCTTCTGTTTTGTGTACCTTGCCAGGGTACACTGGCAAGTGTAACCTTGCCTGTGTACCCTGGCCATAACCTGGAGTTCCAAGTAACTAGATCCAAGTACTGGACAGAGCATGTGTCTCATATAATTATACTTATTTTGGTTAAGTTAAAGTGTCCTTTGAGAAATTGTAGGCGTTACCAATTCAATAATTATATAATACTGTGAATGATTTCCACAATTTTGTCTTCTCCAGGCTGCTTCTGCCACTTACCACACGCCTGATTGTTGGTCTCCTCCACCCTGGTAAAGATGCCAACGAGACAGCCGACTACAGCAACTATGGCTTCCTCTATGGCACTTTCCCCACAGCTCCAGGAGTCTTCGTGTTTGCTTCCCAGTATAATGTTGCAGTTGACCTCGTAAGCTACTCTATAAGATGTTAGAACTCATCTTGCCAAAACCACACGTTACTGTACTTGTAATGCAACTGTTTAATCTTCAATCTCATTATTATATAATATTTTTATTTTTAAGCCATTACATCATTGTCTCATTAAACTAAAATATTCATTCAAAATTTCTTAAGACACCCTCATTTTGCTGTAAATTATTTATCAAACCTATTTTTTTCTGCACTCCACACTTCTTGTTTTGCTTGTCTCCTTTGCTAAGTCAGAGTTAAACACTCTTGACCACAAGAGTGAGTTTGTGTGCTTACAGTAACTTTTTAGAAAGTTACTGTAAGAGCCCACTAATCTGGGCCCCTTTAATCTGGACCTTTCGGTAATGTGGCCAAAACAGAGTCCGAGTTTTTGTTTGCCAAGCTGCACCAAACTTGGACAGGAATCTGGGTTACTGGGTGTTTTGGCCGGGTTACTGGGTGTTTTGGCCGGGTTACTGGGTGTTTTGGCCGGGTTACTGGGTGTTTTGGCCGGGTTACTGGGTGTTTTGGCCGGGTTACTGGGTGTTTTGGCCGGGTTACTGGGTGTTTTGGCCGGGTTACTGGGTGTTTTGGCCGGGTTACTGGGTGTTTTGGCCGGGTTACTGGGTGTTTTGGCCGGGTTACTGGGTGTTTTGGCCGGGTTACTGGGTGTTTTGGCCGGGTTACTGGGTGTTTTGGCCGGGTTACTGAACAATGCTCACCAGAATGGGAAGCTGGGGATTTGAGGATTTATTTAGGATGTTGGGCCAGAGTTCATAGACTGGTGAGAAAGTTGCCCATCATATGATAGGCTGAAATTAAAATTTTGTTCAGTCCAGAGTGTGAGAAATATTAGGGTATGATTTGTAACTTTTTTAATATGACTCCAATCACATTTTTAATGATATTCATAGATATATAGTATACAATATTACAAAAAACAGCTGATGCCTTGGAAAAACTATTTAGGATATTTTAGACAAAAATTTCTGGCTCTATTCATTTCCAGTTACAACAGTTTTCTGGGGGAGCCCTGTCGGCTCCCCGGAGCTATCCAGGCTGATTTGCACCTACAGTATTAGCTTTCTGGCATCAGTCTAAGTGCATGGAGTTCTTGCCTACTGAGGACCATGAGCCAGAACCTGGCCCCCCTCAGAAAGGCACAAAGAGCAATGGCCTATAGAAACCCCTGTGTGGTAATGGCCTATAGAAACCCCAGTGTGGTTAAGAGCATTCTATGTCTGCCATCGACCGGGTCTGGCACCCAGAAAGGTATGCACTCCAAAACAAACCCCTATTCTGGTAAAAATATGGCTACCAAAAGCCGAATAAGTGGACAGGACTTCCCTAAACAAAATTTAGCAAATGAGCATGACGTTACCACGTTGCCACGCTGCTGTCTGCACAACCCCCTTCCCGGGAGGGGGAAGGGGAAGCCCCAGACCCTCGCACCAGCGATCCAACCGACAGTTCTTGGCTGATGTGATACTGGCAGGTCATGTGCCTCTGGCTCCTGCTTGGGTTTCAGTTTCTGTGCCTTGTGGCATGGTCTGTCTCTACAGGTGGTGTATGAGCCAGGAGTAATATTCTACGGTACTTGGGTTGCATGCGCCAAGGGTTTCTTTTCCTAGGTGCCTAGTGAGTACTGCCCTTGGGGCTTGGGGCCACCATCCACAAGTCACCTTGGGATCTACCTTAGCTAATTTTCACCTCTTATAGCGTCTGGCTCTGTTCCACCTGGGTACGTTGTCCTCTTGTGGGGTTTTTCTTTTGTTTTTGTTTTCCTGCCTGGTGGGGGGGGGTCTGTCTTTGGTTGGTTGCCCCCTTTCTATAATTGGGGGTCTTTCTATATACATATGTGTTCTTGGTGGTACCCCCTGCTAGGTCTCCGTGAGTGGACACGTCCCAGGGGTTCAGCTTTTAGAAGTTTGCATGGTAGTTTGGGAGCCAGTTTGCAGTACCCTGCTTGGGCTTCCCTTAGCGTGATACCAAAGCTAAGGGCTCTGGGAAACCTTGCGGGGGCTCCGTGGTCCGATGGATGCGACCCTTGAGTTCCCTCTCGCTTCGTACGAGGTTGGTGGTTGCTCTGTCCCCTTGTCTCAGGGTGACAATCACCGGTTGTGCCTCTGCCATGCTGCCTGTCGGGTCGGTGATTCTTTTGATCCGGAGTTGTGCAACATTTGTTCTTTGTACGTGCTTCAGTTCACCCAAGCTACTGATTATGATATGAGGGTGCAGGCAGCAGAGGCATTGCATGCTTGGTTTAGGTTGCTACAACACAATACAGTAGGTTCGTTGCTTCCCCAGATGACCCGAAATTGCCCTGGTTTGGTTATAGGGACCCCAGACTTGGGGGGATGGGAGTCGCTTAGACTTTTGTCCTATCCACCCCCTCCTTATCCTTTCCCCCCCCCCCCCTTCCCTTGCTTCCGGCTCCAAAACGTCTGAGGGTTTCGGAGCCACCCTTCTGTCGGGGCAGGGTTTAGTTGGTTTTGAAACTTGGGCGGTCTCTGGGGAGTCCCCTTCTGAGGTGACGGCGGAGACATTCAAGCCTGGTCCTCCTGCCGAAGCTTCTGGGTCTGACCAGTGGGCCCCCTTCGTTCCTGCTTTTTCGGCTGCTCCTGCCTTTAGAGGCAGGGGGGTTTGGAAGGCAATTCGGCCCCAGGTGTGGGGTTCCCGGGGCGAACGAGGGGTTGACTTGGGGGTCTTGGACCCAGTTGGACCCCACCTGGGTTTTTATACCCTCAAAGCGGGGCTTGGTGTTACAAGGAGAGGGGTTCTCTTTCGCTCCCTCCACATGTGAATTGGATTTTAGGTCCACCCCTTCCAGAGTTTGGTTTTGTGATGCCGTGGGTTCCTCGGTCTTGTCCTTTGGGAGATTTTTGGCTTCCCACGTCCCGTCACATGTGGTGCGGGAAGCCCTTGTGGCTTACCTCCTGCGCGACCCGGATTATGGCGTTCGTGATGGATTCATGTTCCTTCGTGTATGGGTCTTCATGTCTGTACTGGGTTTGTTATGAAGTTCTGGAGTCGTCCTGGTTAGCAGACTGCCCGCTCGTCTTGTTGGAGGCTTGGTATACATTCTGTCGGTCCCGCGTGCCTGAGTGGAGGGAGGCTCAGACAGTGTTGCAGGTTTTCCTGGGGGGCAAATTTGAGCATCTCGAGGCTTGTTCACCCTTGCCCTTCTGCGGGATGTTGGTGTAATGCAGCTTCATGTGCAGGTTCCTACTCTTTTGGCTGTTTTGGTTGCGGAGGATTTGCATACAAGTGACCTGCTGGCTTAGGCCCTGCGTTTCTTCTCCCTCCTCAAGCTGTTCTCGGATTGGCTTGAGTTGGATGTGGAGGAGCTTGGGGCCGCCTTTGGATCTGGTTCGTTACCGTCGGCAGTGCGTGCGTCGTCTGCATTGTTGAAGCTGTTCACGCTGCTCCTGTGGGATGCAGTTTCGCATTTTTTTCGCTTCTCGCCTTGCTTGCCAGCAGGCAGTGCTTGCTTCTTCCTTGGAATTTGCTTGGGCTTTGGCTCTTAGGTTGTCTTTGCCTTTTTGTCCATTGCTGTTTGCAGTATCTGCAGGCAGCTTCGGCTATTTGCCGTCCTATATTGGACATGTTGGTCCTGCGAGGGGCTTACAGGGGGGGGCCTTCCCGGAAAGATCGTGCCAGGGATCGGGGTTCTTTCCGTCGTGGTAGGCCAGTGGTGCCAGATTCGGGGTAGGCTCAGCCTTCGTTACCATCTGTTTCTGGTCGATGCGGGGATTACCCTGTACACCACCTTGGTTCACATAAGGTGTGTCGGCCTTTTCATGGTTCGTCCCATTGATGGGGCGATGGAGGGGAGGCTTGCTCTATTTGCTCGTGCCTGGTCCCACAATTTGTGGGCTTTAAGAGTCATTTCGTGTGGCCTGTGATGGTGTTGGAAGGCTCCTCCTCCTTCGGGGGGTTCGAGACTGGTGGGGCAGGGCTCTTCTCCTGCGCTCTGTCGAGTCATCTCGGAATGGGTTCGCTTGGGCGTGGTCGAAATGACCTCGTCTCTCAGGTGGGTTTCCTGCCTGTTTCTGGTCTTGAAACGGGACTGTGTGGATCTCCGGTTCATTCTGGACTTGTCTCGTCTGAACCCATAGGTTTATTGCCCCTCCTTTCAGATGACTACTGTCCCAGGTCCGTCTTCTGTTGGAGCCAGGCACTTGGATGGTGTCTCTGGCCCTCAAGGATGCGTATTGGCACATTCCGATTCATTCGAGGTTCAGGGATTGGCTCAGTTTTGTTTTGGGGCGTCAAGGTTACCGCTTTCGTTGTCTTCTTATCGGTTTGAATCTGGCCTCTCGCGTTTTCACACGCCTTACTCGGGTCGTGGTGGCCCGCCTGCGTCTGTTAGGTGTTCGGGTTCTGGCCTACCTTGACGACTGGCTGGTTTGGGCTCCCAGACAGTTTGTGTGTCTGCTCGCCAGGGATTTGGTTCTTTCCCAGCTCGTCGAGTTTGGGTTCCTGGTAAACTGGAGGAAGTTACATCTGGTTCCCTCTCAGGTTCGGTCTTGGCTGGGGTCTTATGTTGGACTGTCGGACCCCTTCCTTGTCTCTTCCTCTGGAGTCTCTGCTTCGGCTGCAGTCCTGCCTTTGCCTGTTTCTGGGGGGCTCCCAGATCACCCGACTGTTCCTTGATGGTTTGTGCGGGAGCCTGAACTTTGCCGTGACGGTCTACCTGCCGGGTCGGGTTTGGCTTTGTCGACTGTTCTGGTTCCTTTGGGGACGTCCCTTCCGCCTCTCTTGCGATCGCTGGGCTCGGTCTCAGGGTGCCTTGCATCGCCGGCTTCCTCTGAGGGCTTTTCAGAGTTCAGTGCCTTGGTGCCTACCCAAGCCCTCGCTCGATTTGTTCACGGACGCGTCATCTCTTGGCTGGAGCATTGTGACCAGTACTCTCCAGGCAGGCCAGAGGCGGTGGGATCTGTCCTTCCGACAGGCCCACGGCAGTGCCGGAGTTTGTGGCGGTCGCTTCGGATGGTTTGAGTCGCTCGCAGATCGATGATCCGGCTCCATTTGGACTGCTGCTCAGTGGTTTATTGCCTGTACCGAGGAGATTCGATGCAGTCCTTGGCTCTGGGTCTGGTCGCTTCGGGTGACTTGTCTGCTGAGTTCTTGAGGTTTGGCTTTCCTGGCCGTTCACATTCTTTAGAGGGGGGGCGGGGCTGCACAGACAACGGCGCGGTGACTTGGTGACATCATGCTCATTTGCTCATTTTCATTTGGGGAGTTCTGTCACCTATTTTGGCTTTCAGTAGCAATTTCTTAACCAGAATAGGGGTTTGTTTTGGGGCACTTACCTTTCTGGGTGCCTGACCTGGTCGATGGCAGACATAGAATGCTCCCAACCACACAGAGGGTTTCTATAGGCCATTGCTCCTTGTGCCTGTCTGAGGGGACCAGGTTCTGGCTTATGGTCCCCAGTAGGCCTAAGAACTTCATTCGCTTGACATACCAGAGTCTAATACTGTACATTCATATCAGCCCGGATAGCTCTGGGGAGCCTCCGGGTCTCACCCAGAAAATGGCATTTTATTACATTTAACGCTGGCTTATTTTTTATTAATCTTTCATTTGCAGATAGCAAGTTCAATGGTGGCATGCACATTCTTGTCAGCTCCCTTGATGTTTGTCTCAGCCAAGATGGTGACCCTGGTGAAGATCAACCCTATGGACTATGTCAAGGAGCTTGAAACTGCTCTCTTCAATGTCAGCATCATTGGACTTATCTGTACGGTATGAAGCCTTACATTTCTTAAAATACATGGGTAATAAATACTGTAAATTTTGACTGAAAATGATTGTTGTCTGTATCATTTTTACTGGAGATAAGTGTATAGAGGGTGGAACATATTAACTAATTACTAGGTATTGATGTTCCATCATACACAGTTGGTGTTCCTTATTTGAAATGTCATTTATTGCTTATATATGTTTGTGAGTGAATAATATTTGTGTAGGTGTATCCTTTATTATTTTTTGTCTTGATACATGTAGCAGCAGTATCAGTCATCACTATTGATCATTAAATTTACTTAAATATTTTTCAGATATGGGTTTTAGCAGTGTTCATCTTAAGCCGAAAATGGAGGAAAGTTCCTCATTTCATCACTATGTGCTTGGCTCTGTCTCAAGCTGTTGCTTGTGTTGGTAAGTCAAGAGATTCTCTGTGATCCTGGAGGATGTGCATCTGTTTATCTTGCATTGCACACAACCATAATTAGTGTATGCTGTCAAGATACATTTCTTGTATTTATGCTTTGTAAGCAATAATCATCACATTGGTTCACTGTACCATTTAAAACGTTTTGCAGTCATTTGTGTGTAATTACCTAAGTGTAGTTACAGAATGAGAGCTACCCTCGGGGTATTGCATCTTCCCGGCACTTTGTCGTATAATGCTTTGAAACTACTGACGGTTTTGGCCTCCACCACCTTCTCACTTAACTTGTTCCAACAGCCTACCACTCCATTTGTGAAAGTAACCTTTTGCCTTTTATTCTGGAAGTTCCAGGTTTTGGGAATTCTTCCCTGTCACTTTTATTGATTCCCGTTACTATTTTGTACGTTAGTGATCATATCTCCAATTTTTTTTCTATCTTCTATCTTTGGCATATTTAATGCCTCTAACCTCTCCTCATAGCTGTTGTTCTTCAGTTCCAGGAGCCATATAGTTGCATGTCTTTGCACCTTTTCCAGTTTGTTGATGTGCTTCTTAACACTATCGCACTCTTCAAACATCCCTGGCGTCTGTTTTTCTCTTGTGTCCGAGCATAGGACTGTTCTCGCATCCGTTAAAAAAAATATTGTATAAAATTCATTTATTATCCGATCGACTTCGGGATAATCGACTTCTTCAAAATGAGCGCCTTTAGAGTGAGCACAATTTGATACCAAAATGAAAGATGTAACACAAAACTTGATGTCAGAACACATGAAATACTGAATTATAAATTTAGGCTTTGCTGCGGAGAGTCACTCCGGGCTTTTGGACATTATTTGCATATACACCTGTAGGAAATTCTATTGCGAGCACAATAATACAAAAATGAACAACGTAGCACGAGAATTAAGGTGAGAAAACTGAAATGAGTATACACATTTCGGTGTCGCCACGTGCTCACCTGCACGATCGCCCGTACGCCGGGGGCGTGACCTCTAAGTTGGTGGCGCGCATGCCTGGGGCGCGAAAGTGTTAAGCAGACCGGAATGAACTGAGAGGGCATGTCTTGGTTCATTCCTCTGTCCATGGAGTGGATAGTCGACGCCGACTCCTTCAGTTGGCTTTGCCGGACGTTCAGGTGCCCGGATGTGAACCTCTTTGCGTTAACTTGGATTCAGCATCTGCCAGTGTATGTGGCACCCTTCCCCGATTGCAAAGCCTTTGCTGGAAGACGCTTTTCTACCTTTTTCTAAAAGGTAGACGCTTTACGGCAGGATTTGTCGAGATGAGGGTTCCTTTATCTATTTCCCTTGGTCCAGCTTTTGCTTTGGGTCCTAACTTGGCCCAATTCCTATCAGGGCAGGGGTGGTTCTCCTGGCTCCATGGTGGCCAGCCCAGCCTTGGTTTCAGGTGCTGCTTGTTCAGTGTCCAAACCAGGAAGTTTTTCCTCGGCTCCTCTTTCAGCAGGTCGGGCCAGTGAGGTACCTTACTGGTTTACCCTACTCTTCTGCTCTTCGCATTTGGTGTTTTTAAAGGGAGTGTACAGTATCACCCCATTTGTATGGTGATCAGGTGCTTTTCTGATGATATCCCACCTGCAGTCTTCTTCTCGGCGACAGTATGAAGTCTCTTGGCGTTCTTTTCACCATTTCCTTTCCCTGTGCTTCCTGCCCGGTTCCAATAATGTCTCATCCCTATACATGTCATACACATTTCCTAATAGTTCATTTATATGTCTTATAATGTTCCAGGCTGTTTTTTACATTTAACACTGTTGTTTCTCTATATTTTCTGGCATTGAATCTGCTTTTTAACTATTTTATCAGTTTTGTTTACATTGGTTTTTAGGAGATGATCTTTTCCTGCTAAGTTGATGCTCTGTATATCTGCAGGGGTAAAAGTACCAGACTGGTTTTCAACATTTAACACTGCTGTTTCTCCCTACACAAGGGTCTCTCTATTACAATAGGTTGTCATCCATTTCTGATCGTGTTATTTTGTTCATTCTCAGATTTTTCAAAACCGGCATCTTATGCCAAATACTTTCGCTTCTTATCGTGCGGCGTTGGTAGAGCTGCTCTAGCTTGCATTCAGGGTGGATGTCACTTTTGCTCCATTACGCAAATGCTCTCTTGCATTTTTTTATCTCTGGCCTGCTCATTCACCGCCTGAGCCCTACTGGGGCCAGATTCACGAAGCAGTTACGCAAGCACTTACGAACCTGTACGTCTTTTCTCAATCTTTGGCGGCCTTGTTTACAATTATTAAACAGTTCATGAACTCCGAAGCACCAGAAAGCTGTTTATAACAGTAACAACAGTTGATTAGGAAGTTTTCATGCTAGTAAACTGTTTAATAAATGTAACTAAAGGTGTCAAAGATTGAGGAAAGATGTACTTGCATAACTGTTTCGTGAATCTGGCCCCCTGGTGTTTGTATCGGGTGCTCTCTCTTCTCGGTTTGTTGTTGCCCCTTCGGTTTAAGATTGTTTTAGGAAGGTGTTGTTTTTGTTGGCTTTGGCGTTTGGGGGGGGGGTCGGGTTGGGGAGCTTCATGCTCTTCTCCAGCGCAGAGGTTTCCACTCCTTTGGCCCTGGGGAGCGTTATGTTCGCTTGCAACTGTCTCCTTCTTTTCTGGCGAAGAATGAGACGGCAGGCTTACGGAGGGGTCCGTGGGTTATTGATGCTTGCTTGATCAGGCAGGAGTGCATCATGTTTTGTGTCCGGTTGTGGCTCTCCGTTGTTATCTGCACACTTCGGGTTCTGTATCCGTAGACGCGCTTTGGGTAGATCCGGTGTCCCTCTTTCCCCGTTCCAGACTTGGGTCTCTCAGGTCGTCCGTAGAATTATCAAGGCTAACCAGCCTGCAGTCTATCATCGTGCCCATGGTGTGCGGAAGTCGATGTGCTTTTCACAAGTCGAGTCTGGCCTCGGGCCGGGCTTGGGGAGTAGAAGAACTCCCAGAACCCCATCAACCAGGTATCAACCAGGAAGTTTGCAGCTCTTGCTGCAGTCTTTGGTAACATGTCTTGGATTGACAGTCAGGCACGGGTGTTTGAAAGTCGAACAGGATCCTGGCTGCCCGTTATCTTGTTAAAGTTCCAGATCCTCAGTGGCTTTGTTTGGCTTTGGGGCATTTCTCGCAGCCAGTTGTCCCGTCTTCGTCATGAGGCACACGGTGCTGCCACCACCTGGTAAGTCCCTTTTTACTTATGTGGATATATAGTGTCAGGGTCCCGACGGGGCTCACCTCAGAAAACCAGTGTTGAATGTAATGAAACACCATTTTCTGGGTTGAGCCCCAGAGGCTCACTGACACCCTCCCTCTCTCCGGTCGGCGATTTTGTTATCAGTCTTCAAATTGCTGGTGTCAGCACCTGAGCCACCTGGGTGGGGCCCCCCTTTCCCCTCCTGGGGGAGGGAGGGGGTCGCTAACGAGTAGGTCGCGCTAGTTGCTTAGACATTGCTTGTTTGTTGTTTCCTCTCGGGGGTAGTTCTTGGGCTCTGTTCAGTCTTGGGTTGCAATGTTTTCCAGTTGGGGTTTGTAATGGTTCACCTACCTTTCTGGGTGATATCTCCGGTTGATGGCAGATATGACTCCACTCCACTTTGTGAGAGTATAGTGTTCATACGTCATTGCTCTCTGCGCCTCTCTGAAGGAACCAGGTTCTGGCTCATGGTTCCCGGTAGGCAAAGAACTCCATTTAACTGATGTTCTGGATTAATATAGCAGATATCGGTCCATTAGCTTCAGGGAGCCTCTGGGGCTCATCCCCGAAAATGGCTTTCATTACATTCAATACTACGGTTTTTCTTCTTGTATCTCGGAGCTCTGCATTGACTATGACTTTTCCCAAGATTCATTACTGTGTGTGTGTGTGAGTGTACTTACCTAGTTGTACTTATCTAGTTGTGCTTGCAGGGGTTGAGCTCTGGCTCTTTGGTCCCGCCTCTCGACTGTCAATCAACTGGTGTACAGATTCCTGATCCTATTGGGCTCTATCATATCTATACTTGAAACTGTGTATGGGGTCAGCCTCCACCACATCACTTCCTAATGCATTCCATTTGTCTACTACTCTGACACTGAAAAAATTCTTTCTAATTGGCTCATTTGGGCACTCAGTTTCCACCTATGTCCCCTAGTGCGTGTGCTCCTGGTGTTAAATAGTCTGTCTTTATCTACCCTATCAATTCCTCTGAGAATCTTGTATGTGCTGATCATGTCCCCCCTAACTATTCTGTCTCCCAGTGACGTGAGGTTTAATTCCCGTAGTCTCTCCTCATAGCTCATACCCCTCAGTTCGGGTACTAGTCTGGTGGCAAACCTTTGAACCTTTTCCAGCTTAGTCTTATGCTTGACTCGTGATTCCTTACACAAGATTCTAAAGACCATTCTTATGTTGGCCAACCGGGCATATGCCGCTGATGTTATCCTCTTGATATGGGCTTAAGGGGACGTGTCTGGCGTGATATCAACCCCCAGGTCTTTCTCTCTCTTTGTGTGTGTGTGTACTCACCTATTTGTGTCTGCAGGATCGAGCATTGACTCTTGGATCCAGCCTTTTGAGCCATTGGTTGTTTACAGCAATGACTCCGGTCGTATTTTCCCTATCATACTTACTTTTAAAATTATGAATAGAATTTGCTTCCCAAACCTGCTCCTTAAATGCATTCCATTTTTCCACTACTCTCACGCTAAAAGGAAACTTCCTAACATCTCTGTGACTCATCTGAGTTTCCAGCTTCCAGCCCATGTCCCCTCGTTCTGTTACTATTCCGTGTGAACATTTCGTCTATGTCCACTCTGTCAATCTCCCTGAGTATTTTATACATTCCTATCATATCCCCCTCTCCCTTCTTTTTTCTAGTATCGTAAGGCTTTTCCTTCAGCCGCTCTTCTTTGTGTATATGTGGGTGTGTGTGTATGTGTGTGTAATTACCAGAGTGTAGTTACAGGATGAGAGCTACGCTCGTGGTGTCCCGTCTACCCAGCACTCTGTCATATGACGTTTGAAACTACTGACGGTTTTGGCCTCCACTACCTTCTCACCTAACTTGTTACGGCTAAAAAAAAAAGATGCTTAAAGTATTATAATGCTTAAAAAAGGTGTGTGTGTGTGTGTGTGTGTTCACTCCGTTTCTCCTTTTATACAGAGCTATTTCTTGATGAGCTCGTCTTTGCCATTGCTACTAGCCCTGAGCTAGTGCACAGTTTTCTCTAGCAAGTTGAGCAGCGTAGCAAAATGCTATTGTTCACAATATGATTAAAATGCAAGATGGCACATACATAGACCAGATTGGGGGTAGTTGTTGTCATGACTACTCCACGTTTCTATTAACTGTGACAGTCTGGTGCCCCTTCCTCTGTCACAGCCTTTAATAAATTTCTGATGTTTACTTTGTTGCACGGCCTGGCCCTTATTATTCAATCTCAAGTGTTCAACGTTTTTATTCAATCTTTACAAAAACGTTTTGAAGGTTTTGTGAAGCAGTGTAATTTTCATTGTTTTAGTAATCAAAGAAAAAAAGAAGCCATTTATATGCAGAACAATGCAGATAGTTTTGTGCCATATTAGGTATTTCAAAACAAGAACACAATCATGAGTCATCTTTATAACTTAATGTATCCAAATAATGAATTATATAATGAACGTGGTATAACACTGACAGGTGATTAAGTACCTACTACAGTGATATTAATGTTTATATGTTTAACCTTACCCCTGGGTAATATTGAAAGCACTGAGGCCTAATTATTCATGTACAGGTGACAATACACAATACTAATGACTGCAGTGTCACATCACGACCTCGGCATCCAGTTGCCATGAGAGTGGGCCGATGATTTTCCTGGAACAAATACTTTCTCCCCAACAGTCCCGACCAAACCTGGAATATTCAAGGGTCTCCACTGTATGCAGTGATAATCTATCCAGCCAATTACACCCCCATGTCTAGTACAATATTACCATAACTTAACAATAATATTTTGTGTTTCAGGAGCACTTTTGTGGTCTGTGTTGGACTGCACTCACACTTGGAAGTTATACCTACAGTTTGTGCTTTTCTCGTGGGGGGTGTTTTCTTCACGGCTCTGGACGGCTATACTAGCCATCACCCTCTTCCTCCTGCGCTGGCGGTCCCTCTGCTTTGTTCTGCGGCTTCGTCCTTTCCTGGCAATCGTTGGTTGGGGGTAAGTCTTCAGTATATAACTGATAACTTGTACTTCATCCTATTTCATGCCTACCCATGTCTTCATTTTATATCATTTTATTATTTTGACTAACAATTTTGTATACATTAGTTGCTGGTTCTAATAAGAACTTATTGATGTATAATAAATGTTTTAATTGCTTAAATGTGATGAAACAATGGTCTAATTTTAATGAGCCTTAGTGCTTCCTGGTGGTTGATTTTAGAACCAATTGTGTGTCTTTGAGATAATAGCAATGTCTGCATCACAATTTATACACTGCTGATATCACAGGATGTTCCCAATTGCAGGCCCAGGAATTTTTTTTTACTGTATTACAAAAATTATATAAAAAAAAAACTTGATATATACTGTGAATTCAAGAACTGTGCCAAATTATATGTACATTTTCATCATTACATCCTCAGTGGTTTCTAGTTTTATTGTTTGCACTGAAATATGTCAGGGAGGTAGAGCAGCTGGTGCAGTGAATGTCCTTGCTAGGAAGAATAAGATAGAAATAGAGTTATAAGGCTGCATGAAGGAGAGGTGATGCCTTTACATAAACCTCCAGAGTTAGATCTCGAGACATGGACAATCAGATAGGTATTTGTGGTGTTTGGTGGATAGATAAGGGACAAAGAATTAAAATGTTGTGTAAAGATGTACTGTTGAGGTTAAGATAGCACGGTCATATTGAATGAATTTATGGTGATGGTTATGAGAGAGAATGTTCAAGTGAAGTTGTAAGTAGGAGGAGATGAAGGCCAACGAGGAGAGTCTCAGACTTGGTAGTGTGTAGGGAAAAAATGTTAGATTTAATGTGTTTTAAGAGTGAGTGTTTTAGGTTTTTTATAAGACAACTCTGGGAAAGCCCTTGACACCTGGTTGTATAAGATGGTGGAGTGCTGCTGTGGATGTATTGGTGCAGTGTGCCGGTGCTGGTTCTAGAAGCTGCTTCCCCATGTAGTGTGGAAGATACGGCAAATGAATTGAGTGTTCTTTAATGTCTATAATTATTGTTCCTTTCTATTTGCACTCCTATTTCTAATGGGCTGATGGCCGCCCTTCCTCAAAGGAGGGGTGAAACTGGGTAGTGACAATGATGCAGTGAAGTAAATGAAAAATTGCATCTGGTCAGTTTGTCAGAATTAGATGTGTCATCTTTAAAACTGATACAGGATTTACATAGTTCTTTACTTATCATATATATTTTCAGCCTTCTGGTCAAATGGTGAGTTTATATAACTGCAGTATGTGTATTTAGAAATGTAATAAGACCTGGTAATCTCTCGTTTACTAATACACCGTAAAGTTTTCTGACATTTCCTTCGTCCCTCTATCCTTTCCCACTTTCCCACACTTCTACAATTAGTAGGCGAGATGAAGTTGGTGGTAGAGGTGATTTACAGTCCACCAAACCATATAAGGCATGGGGGGGAGAAATACAACAAATGCCTTAAGACCTACCTAAAGGAAATGGAAAAAAGGCAGCCACAGTGGCAAGGGAAGCGAGGCTTAAATTGTAATATTTGGGGATTTTAATCACAGAGAAATAGACTGGATAAAGTAGGACTCCACCACAAGGGTAACGAGACACGGAGAGCAAAACTGGTAGATACGGCTGATAAATACTAATTGAAGTAACATTACAGAATGAACACTAGACCTGGTGTTGATCTAAAATGAGACAGATACCAAAAAGGTAGAGTACGAGGTGCCCTTGGAGGTAGGGACCACTGTATTATTATGCTGGTGCACAGAGTAGAGCTAAAAAAAAGTCAAATTAAGAAATGCATTAAGAATGACAGGAGTTAGAATTGAGAACTAAAGAGGGCGAGGGAACTATCTGCATTAAGTTCAATTGGAGAGAGAGAATTAGAAGGGAAGACAACAAATGAGATGATGGAATTCATAGCCCAGAAATGTGCTGATGCCACAAAGCAATTCATCCCACACATAAGGTGAACAGGAGGAGGAGGATTCAACATAGCCTATTAATCCTTGGTTTAATAGGCTATGCAGGAGGGATGCCAAGAAAAGGACCAAACAAGCAAGGGAAAAGTATGGAGGATAATAAAGGCACTAAAAAGAGCTGGAAATGAGTACACCAGTATGAGTACGAGTACGAAATGTATGAGAAATGAGTCAAGATGGAAGCAGAGATGCAATTTGAAAACATTGTGGCAAAAGCTAAGGAAAATCTAAAACTATTGTATAGTTATTTTTAAAAAAGAAAACTGAAAAGCAAGAAAACAAGTGAAAGGTTGAGGAAACGGGGGGGAATTCTTAAGGGAGCGACATGGTGGTGTGTGAAGAATTTCAGAAACATTTTCAAGAGATCTTTACAAAACAACCAAGAGAATTGTCATGAAGGCCAAGATTGCAAGGTGAAAGGTTGCCAGAAAAAAAAATTGATAATAAAATGCTCAAGACAGGAATTTCCAGGAATTTTGGGAAAAAAGGCTAATGTAATCCCAATATTAGAAAAGTACAGGCAGGAGGAACTTATTTACAGACCAGTTGTTGACATGTATTTCATGTTAAGTGTTGGAGAAAGTAACCGGGTTCAGATTAATGGAGCGGCTGTAGAGAATAAACTTTGTAATGAAAGGACAGCATGGATTTAAAAAGGGGAAAATCATGCCGGACAGACTTAATAAGAGTGCTGTGACAAGATTACTAAAAATGAAACTAGGAAAAGTGGGCTGGGTAGACTGTATTATCCTAGATTGTCAAAAAAAAAGCATTTGATACTGTTCCTCATGAAAGGCTTGTATATAAGATGTCAAAGCAAACTTGGTTAACTAGGAACACACCGAATTGGGTAAGTGAGTACCTGAATGACAAAAAAAAAAAAAAAAAGTGTCATAGTCAGAAAGGTGTTTGTCAAGCTACAGAAAGGAGTCAAGTTAGGGGAAAAGTCCTCTATGCCATGGTCTTATGATGGCTGCTGTTCTTAATTTATGTGAATGACCTACCTGAGGGTCATTTCTGTGGGGAGCCCCATTGGCTCCCTGAAGCTATCCAAATTGATACGAGCTAAATTAGTTTGGGGTCATCAGTCACAGGACGGAGGCAGTGCAGATGATCGTCACCCTGAGGCAGTGGCGACGAGCAACCTTCAACTTCACACAAGGCGAGAGTGGACTCGGAAGAAGTATCCTTGGTTCTAACGAGCTCACACAGGTTTCCAGGGCCCATATGAGGGGCCTTGGAAACCCTACGGGAACGGGAAGCCCTATGGGAGGCCCAGGCACTGGGGTCAGCTAAGCTGGTAGAATCCCTGTCTAGTAGCAGGCAAACTGACTACCAGTAGCAGCTGTGAACCCTCAGGGGCAACAGAGGAGGACCACTAACACCACCTAGGCTAGCCTAATAAGAGGCTAGATAGACTTCCATTGTCCACAAAAGACAAAAACACAAGAAATGGAAACTAAAAGCCCCCGAAGAAACAAGCAAACAAGCAAACTGGTAGCCAGAGATATGCATCGGCCACCGCATTGTAATAAGGCAGGCTATGCCAGCTGCAGTGCGCCCCACCCACCTAATAACACTCCCCCACCCAAGGCAAGACAGAAAGCCCAAGATCCCCCAACGAGCAAAGAATCATCTTTGCTCATCTCAAGTCCTCCCCAGCTAGAGAACCTTATCTCAAGCGATGAGGTCCTCTAGCGGGGAGTGATTCCCGAACGCCCCAAGGAAAATAACACTGAAACGCAAGGGCAGTACTTACGAAACACCTAGGGAAGTTCACCCCAGTTGCATCCTGCTCCACGTACAAGAAGACACCTGGCCAACGACCGAACATACCGCTGGTACAGACACACAAGGTAAAATCCAGAACACGAACTTGAGGCCAGAGGTGACCGAAGTGACCGCCAGCACATCTGTTCAAGAAGTGGTGTGCTGTGGTGAACTGGCTTCCCCAGCACCCCCCCCCCCCTCTCCAATGGGGAAGAAAATGCTAGTCTCATGAAGGGTTGCTTGTTTGGTTTTCTAGTGGAGCTATTTATATCCTTTTGGATGTTGATTACACAGGTTAACTAGACAGTGGTCTGTTTTGATTAGCCTACATTTCTGGCTCCTTTCCTGGTTGATGGCAGTTATGACGTACTTTAAATGTAAAGTGCTCATAAGCCATTGCTCCGTGCACCTCTCTGACGGGGCCAGGTTCTGGCTCGTGGTCCTTGGTGGGCATAACGACTCCTGTGACTGATGACCCCAAACTAATATTGTGACGACACCGAAATGTGTATACTCGTTTCAGTTTTCTCACCTTAATTCTTGTGCTACATCGTTCATTTTTGTATCATTGTGTTCGCATATACACCCTACAGGTGTATTATGAATATAATATCCAAAAGCCCGTCATGACTTCCCCACAGCAAAGCCTAAATTTGGCAAAAGTTAACGGTGGGCGCACAAAATCAGTAAAACGTGTATACTCGTTTCAGTTTTCTCTCCTTGATTATCATGCTATGTCGTTCGTTTAGGTATCATTGTGTTCACAATTAAATTCCCTGCAGGTGTATATGCATATAATGTACAAAAGCTCGACGTAACTCCCTGCAGGAAAGCCTAAAGTTACCCATAAACGAGCACCAATTGGCACACTGCAACCTAATGTGTATACTCGTTCAGTTTGATAACATCAATTTTCGTGTTATGTCTTTCATTTTGGTATCGAATTGTTCGCAATATAAAGGTGCGTGTTTTAAAACTAGTTCCATGATAATAGAGCAATAAATGGAATTTTAACAAATATTTAAAATTTTAGACGTTCATCATCACAAAATTATTTATATCTTTCCAGTGTTCTGGCATCAATTTTCGTGTTATATCTTTCATTTTGGTATCAAATTGTTCACAATCTAAAGGCACGCATTTTAAAACTAGTCCCATAATAATAGCACAATAAATAGAATTTTAACAAATATTTTAAAATTTGAACCAAAAAAGTATTTATAATCTTTCCAGTGTTCTGACATCAATTTTCATGTTACATCTTTCATTTTGGTATCAAATTGTGTGCAATCTAAAGGCGCACATTTTAAAATCACTCCCAGATTGATTGGATAAAATTTAAATTTTTAACAAATATTTTAAAATGATGGACGCCGCTCACGTCCACGACTCGGACTCAAGAGAAAAATTATGGACCCCAGGGGCGTTCGAAGAGTGCGAAAGTGTTAATTAATAAGAAACGTGAAAACTGAGAAGTTGAAAATTACAGGAAGTCCTTGACAAGCACCAGGAGAGGGCATACATGAAACTGTTAGTTCAGCCTCTACACATGTATGTTAATGAAGATGAGAGGAGGTGACAGGTGCAAAGAAATCTGCACCATAAGGGAAGGGCGCCTACAGTACAGGAATCAGAGAGAAAGGTGACAGGTGCAAAGAAATCTGCACCATAAGGGAAGGGTGACTACAGTACAGGAATCAGAGAGAAAGGTGACAGGTGCAAAGAAATCTGCACCATAAGGGAAGGGCGACTACAGTACAGGAATCAGAGAGAAAAAAGTCGTGGGAAGGGAACAAATGATAAACACCAGGGGAGCACAAGCAGAACAGCATTGGCGGCGTATGGGAACCTGACAAACATAAACTGAACTTAAAAATCAAAGCAGAGCCTTTCAAAACAATCTGTGCAGCAATGTGAAACCAATGCTACAATACACAACACTGGTATCAGATTTACAACTTGTGAAACACTTGAAATTTTAAAATACAGTAGCCAGATGTTGTAGCTAAATTATTTCCTGTGTTAAGAGGACTTAATCTTTAGTCCTCTTAAAAGAGTGACCTTAAGACTGTCCTGAGAGTTTTAAGGCAATTCAATAACAACTTGCAGTACTAGAATAATACTTGCAGTACTAATGCATCTGGGATGCTCCCGGACGCAGGTTCGAATCCTCGTCGCGGCCCTTGTGGATTTGTTCAACAGGAGATATAATCACCATATATAAAATACAGATAAAAAGAAGGCAAGGTGGATATGAACAACCTCTTTAAATTGAAATGCACTGAAAGAAGTTTTGGAAGCAAAGTTTTCACATCTTCAAGAGCACATGCAACAATGAACTTTATTTAAAAGCTAAAATTGCACCAGGTACAGTAGGCTAGGAGGTGAAGAATAAAGAGCTAGACTCTCAGTCGTCACTGATAGGTTTCCCCACCTCCACATGCCTTCCCCCTGTCTTCCCTTCTACCTGAAATAATATCATGTGCTCATTATAATAGGCTAAACTCATTGTATTCTCTATGCTGTATTCATTATATTCATAGTACAGTACTCATAAATAATGTCCTATGCCTTGTAATCATTCCACTCCCAGTATTCAGTAAACAGATGTTTGTATCCCAAGATTTGTCAGTTTCAAGAGACCAGTTTCTTGATCAGTTGTGGACAAAACATCCAATTGAAATTATGCTTCTAGAAGCGTGATAAAGAATGTATAAACTCTTGGAATATATAGATTACCGTGAGTGCAACCCAGGTACATCAATGCATCCCTGCTGGGCTAGACTATCCTACCTGCCCCCTCCCTCCCTCCCTCCAAGTAGTCACCATTCTGTTGACTAGTTTAACCACTATATTCACATTTCCCCCGTTATCGAACAATATCTAATCAACCGAGGTCCAGTTCATGGTTTTATCACGTTATAAACTGATTTACATTGTACTGGGACTGTCATTGTTAATAGGTGATTATTTATAATAAATATTGTATGTATATACAGTATTTGTATACACGATGTATGTATAAGCTTTTACACTTGAGTTAATCCGACCGGTTTCATGCCTCAGGCTGCCAGCAATCTTGGTGACCGTACTCATTCTCATGGTCCAGCAAGAAACAGAAGTAGCAGACAAGCATGACCCGAATTTTCAGTATGGTTCCGCTCAAGCCATTGTTGCTTTGCTGTTGCTCTGGTTCAGCCTTATCAGTAAGTGAATTATTGTCTTTCCGTGTAGTATAATTACTGTTTTGCACTAACTGAAAATTTTCTCCGTTTATATATATCAAGATTTTGTTACTTTACTGTAATGTCTGTAAACCCCCATTCCAGCCGTGATTATACATTGATAAGTCCTCTTCTCCCAATCCCTCTGATTATTCCTCCTTCTCTTACCCCTCTCTCCCCTCATCTTTTTCCTCTCTTCCATTCTACCTCTTCTCTTTTACCTCTTGCCTCCTCTTTCTCTTCCTTCTTTTTCCCCTTCTCGGGTATTCTACCCCCTCCACCATCCCAAATTATTAAATGTACCTTACCTTGAGGTGCTTCCGGGGCTTAGCGTCCCACCGCGACCCGGTCGTCGACCCGGCCTCGTTGCTGGAGTGATCAACCAGGCTGTTGGACGCGGCTGCTCGCAGCCTGACGTATGAGTCACAGCCTGGTTGATCAGGTATCCTTTGGAGGTGTTTGTCAAGTTCTCTCTTGAACATTGTGAGGGGGTTTGCCAGTTAGGCCCCTTATGTGTAGTGGAAGCGTGTTGAACAGTCTCGGGCCTCTGATGTTGATAGAGTTCTCTCTGAGTACCTGTTGCACCTCTGCTTTTCAATGGGGGTATTCTGCACATCCTGCCATGCCTTCTGGTCTCATGTGATGTTATTTCTGTGTGCAGGTTTGGGACCAGCCCCTCAATTATTTTCCACGTATAGATTATTATGTATCTTTCCCGCCTGCGCTCAAGGGAATACAGATTTAGGCTCTAGTCGGTCCCAGTAGTTTAGATGTTTTACTGAGTGGATTCTAGCAGTAAAGAATCTCTGCACGCTCTCCAGGTCAGTAATTTCTCCAGCTTTGAAAGGGGCTGTCATTGTGCAGCAGTACTCCACTCTAGAGAGATGTAAACCTGAAATAATGTTGAAGACCAATGCCCCAATCCACATTGAAAGCATTGGCAAACAGCTCAGGAAGAAGAAGCAGAGGTTTCCAAGGGGCTGAACCCTTAAAAATCAACAGAAGAAATCTCCTGAGGAGGCACTTCCTTGAGACAAGGATAAGTGAATGTGGTAGTCTCATAACCAGTGATGAGCATTAATGCAGAAAAGCGTGTTCAATACCCCCCTTCTGCCAGACGTAGCACAAGAGACCTACCATTCAGGCAAAGTTCAGTCCACTGTGGAGGTGCTCAGGATTTTAGCATGAGAAGTGGTGTGACTCTTAAAGGACCTTAAACATAATACAGGGTACAAAACACAATCAAATCTGCCCATAGTAGGAAAACAGCATGTAAAGGATTTGGGAATAATGATGTCTGACGACCTAAAGTTTAGGGAGCATAACCAAGCAAATATTGCGTCAGCCAGAAAAATGATCGGATGGATTACGAGAACTTTCAAATCCAGGGATCCCATCACAATGGTTGTACTCTTCAAGTCACTTGTGTTATTCCGTCTTGATTACTGCTCAGTACTCACTTTCCCCTTCAGAGCAGGAGAGATTGCTGAAATAGAGGGAATACAGAGAACATATACAGCACGCATAGACTCGATAAAGCACCTAAATTATTGGGATCGTCTCAAAGCCCTCCAAACGTACTTACTAGAAAGAAGACGAGAGAGATATCAAATAATATACACATGGAAGATACTGGAGGGCCCAGTACAAAATCTACAAAAGTAAAATAACAATGTACTGGAGTGAACAATAAGGAATAAAGTGCAGAATAGAGCCAGTGAAGAGGAGGGGTGCCATAGGCACGATCAGAGAACACTGTATAAACATCAGAGGTCCACAGTTGTTCAACGTCCTCCCAGCGAGCATAAGAAATATTGCCGGAACAACCGTGGACATTTTCAAGAGGAAACTAGATTGTTTCCTCTAAGGAGTTCCGGACCAACCGGGTTGTGGTGGATATGTGGGCCTGCGGGCTGCTCCAAGCAACAGCCTAGTGGACCAAACTCTCATAAGTCAAGCCTGGCCTCGGGCCGGGCTTGGGGAGCAGAACAACTCCAAGAACCCCCATCAACCAGGTATCAACCAGGTATCAACTCTAGGGCACAGGCCTGCTCAGTGCTGTCTCTGAGAGGAAAAATAGCCATTTTCTGAGGGAAGCCCCCTTCCTCTCCCCGGAGTTTATCCAGGCTGATATACTAATGTCAGACTTTGGCATCAGTTATGTGTATGGAGTTCTGTGGGCCTACCGGGGACCACGAGCCAGAACTTGGCACCCTCAGAGAGGCATGGGGAGCAATGGCCTATAGAAACCCCTGTATGGTTGGAAGTATTCTATGTCTGCCATCGACCATGTCAGGCATCCAGAAAGGTAAGCATCCCAAAACAAAACCCCTATTCTGGTAAAGTTTGCTACCAAAAGCCGAACAGGTGGATGGAACTCCCCAAAAAGAAACAAGCAAATGAGCATGATGTCACATGTTGCCGCGCCGCTGTCTGCACAGCTCTCCCCTCCCCGGGAGGTGGAAGGTGGAATCCCAGACCCCACCATGCCAGCTATTCACCCATGTACACATGTACACATACACACATACTCATCTTGAGGTTATCTTGAGATGATTTCGGGGCTTAAGTGTCCCCGCGGCCCAGTCCTCGACCAGGCCTCCACCCCCAGGAAGCAGCCCGTGACAGCTGACTAACACCCAGGTACCTATTTTACTGCTAGGTAACAGGGGCATAGGGTGAAAGAAACTCTGCCCATTGTTTCTCGCCGGCGCCCGGGATCGAACCCGGGAACACAGGATCACAAGCCCAGCATGCTGTCCGTTCGGCCGACCGGCTCCCATAAGTTCTAAGGCTGATGCTAGAGGCGGAGGTCGTGTGCTCTGGCTCAAATGGTCTTTCAGCACTGTGCTTCGAGTGTGTTGACTGTCTTCCAAGGGTGTGAGAGCCAGGCCAGTTGTTGTTCTACAGTACTTGGGCTGCATGCGCCTAGGGTTACCTTCCCTAGGTGCCCTGTAAGTACTGCCCTTGGGACTTGGGGTTACTTTCCACACGTTCCTTGGGTCCTGCCTCTGCTGGGCTGTTTAACTACTCTGTTTTTTGGCTGCCCTTTGGGTGCTTGGGTGTTTTGTCTCCCTTGTTTACCTTAGGGTAAGAGGCAGCTTACACTTGTACGGGGCGTAGGATGCTGTGCAGCTTGTTTTCACCATTCACAGCGGCCAGCTCTGTTCCTTCGGGTACGTTGTCCTCTTGCGGGGTTTTGTTTTTATTTTTGTTTTTGCCTTGTAGAGGGGGGAGGGTATGCTTTGCTTGCCCCTTTGTGCTTGATCTGAGCACAGTTCTTCTGGTGGTGCCCCCTGCTAGGTCCCTGTGAGTGTACATGTCCCTGGGGTTCAGCTTTAGACAGTTTGAGCTTGCCTCCAGCGCGACCCGGATTATGCCTCACTTATGGATCCGTTTTCGTTCAGGTTTGGGTCTTCGTTCCCTTTCTGGGTCCATTACGAGGTTCTGGAGTCATCCTGGCTGGTGGATTGTCCTGTGTTTGCCTTGGAGGCTTGGCATTCCTTCTGTCGTACCCGTTCGCTTGAGTGGCGTGAGGCTTCGACAGTGGTTCAGGTTTTCCTTGGGGGCGATCTTGAGCACCTCAATGAGTGTTTGTTTGCCCCGGCCCTTTCCTTGGATGTTGGCATTCTGCAGCTCCATGTGCAGGTTCCCTCGCTTTCGGCGAAGCAGGTTGCTGAGGACTTGCACGCCCGTGGCCTGTTGGTTTCAGCCTTGCATTTCTTTTCTCTCCTAGAGCTGTCTTCGGACTGGCTTGCAGAAGATGTGGGGACGCTTGGAGCCGTTCCTGGGTCCTGTGCCATGGGCTTGGCGGCTCGCTCGTCGGCTGCCTTGTTGAAGCTTTTTGCGCCGATCTTGCGGGAGGCTGCTTCCCTGTTTTATGCTTCCCGGCTCGCGTGTTGGCAGGCGGTGCTTGCCTCCTCTCTGGAATCTGCCTGGGCCCTGGCTCTTAGGATGTCGTTGCCTTTTTGTCCTCTGCTTTTTGAGGATTCAGCCATGGTGCAGTATATACGGGCTGCTTTAGCTACTTGTCGTCCTATGTCTGACTTGTTTTTTCTCCGGGGGTCCCGGGGGGAGAGGGGGGGTCATGGCAGGGCTCAGGGTTCCACTCGTCGTGGTAGGCCACTGGTGCCAGGTTTGGGTCCAGCCCCGCCTTCGGTCCCGCCTTCATCTGGTCTGTGCGGAGTTCGCTCTGTGCGGGGTTCTGGGTCTCATAAGGGGCGCCGGTGGTTCGCAGTTTGCCCCATTGACGGGGCGATGGGGGGGGGGGAGGCTGGCGCTGTTCGCTCACACCTGGTCCCACGATTTGTGGGAGTTTCGGGTCGTTTCTTTCGGCCTGCAGTGGTGTTGGGTGACCCCACCTCCGTCGGGGGGTTCGGGGCTGGCATTGCAGGCCTCTTCCCCTGCACTCTGTCGGGTCATCTTGGAATGGGTGCGCTTGGGCGTAGTCAAAACGACATCGTCCTTCAGATGGGTTTCCCGTCTGTTCCCAGTACCGAAACAGGACTGTGCAGACCTGGGGTTCATTCTGGACTTGTCCCGTCTGAACCCCTGGGTTCATTGTCCCTCCTTTCGGATGACTACGCTATCCCAAGTTCGGCTTTTTTTGGCGCCGGGCTCTTGGATGGTGTCCCTGGACCTTTGGGACACTTATTGGCACGTCCTGATCCACCCGGGGTTCAGGGACTGGCTCAGTTCTGTCGTGGGGCATCAAGGTTACCGCTTTCGTTGTCTCCCGACCTGGCACCTCGCGTGTTCATGCGCCTTACCCTTGTCGTTGTGGCCCGTCTGCATCTGTTAGGTGTTCGGGTGTTGGCCTACCTCGACGACTGGCTGGTTTGAGCTCCCAGCTGGTCCTCTTGTCTGCTAGCCAGAGATTTAGTTCTTTCCAAGCTCGCCGGGTTCGGGTTCTTGGTGAATTGGAGGAAGTCTTATTTGGTTCCCTCCCAGATTCGGACCTGGCTGGGTCTTGTGTGGGACTCTCGGACCACTTCCTTGTCTCTTCCTCCGTAGTCACTCCTGCGGCTGCAGTCCTGCATGCTCCTGTTTCTGGGGGGCTCACGGGTCACCCAGCGGATGTTCGAGGGTTTGTGCGGGAGCTTGAACTTCGCGATGATGGTCTACCCGCTCGGTGTCCGAACCCAGAGGTTTTTCTGTGGCTCTGCCTGTTTCAGCCGATCGGACCAGTGCGTCACGTGGCTGGTTCGATCTTCTCCTCGAGTTTTCACGTATGGTGTTTTTGACTCTGGTTTATCATCATCTCTATGGTGATCAGGTGGCTTCCTTGGTAGTGTCCCACCTGCAGACTTCTATGCGACAGTATGACGTTTCCTGGCGGTCCTTCCGTTTCTTTCTGCACCTTCGTTGTTATGTTTCGCTGTCTGTTAGGGGTTGTCTTGTCCTTTCTCTCTTGGTTGTTCCAGGACTGTCATCATATGCCTAACACTGTTGCCTCGTATCATGCGGCGCTGGTGGCACCACTTCAGCTTGCTTTTGGTATTGACATTACATCTGCGCCATTTCGCAAGCTGTCTCGTGCGTTGTTTTGCCTCCGGCCTGGTTATGTGCCGCCTGAGCCGTCCTGGTCATTGGACAACGTGCTCTCTTTTCTTTCTTCTTCTCTGTTTGTTGTGGCCCCTTCGATTCATGATTGCTTCTCGAAGGCTCTTTTTCTGTTGGCGTTGGCCTCTGGGGGTCAGGTTGGCGTTGGCCTCTGGGGGTCAGGTTGGCGAGCTTCATGCTCTCCTCCAGCGCAGGGGTTTCTGCTCTTTCGGTCGTGGCGATCGGTTTGTCCGTCTGCAGCCGTCTCCTTCTTTTCTGGCGAAGAATGAGACTGCTGCTTTCCGGATTGGTCCTTGGGTTGTTGATGCTTGGTTGGTCAGGCCGGGGGTGCATCATGTTTTGTGTCTGGTTGTGGCCCTTTGCTGTTATTTGCGCGCCACAACTTCTGTGTCCGGGGACGCGCTTTGTATTGATCCGGTTTCCCTTCTTCCCTGTTCGCGGGTGCGGGTCTCCCAGGTCGTCCGCAGGATTGTTAGGGCTAGCCAGCCTGCGGTCTATCCCCGGGCTCATGACGTTCGCAAGTTCGCTGCTCTTGCTGCCGTGTTTGGCAATATGTCCTGGGCTGACATTCAGGCTCGAGGATTTTGGCAGTCCAACAGGGTCCTGGCTGCTCGGTATCTCGTGAACGTTTCTGGGCCTAGTCGGGCCTGTGTCGCTTTAGGTCGGCAGTTGCAGCCTGTTGTCTAGACTTGGAGTTGAGGAGTGAGCAGCGACCGCCTCCTGGGTATGTCCCTATCTTTTTCCTCTGTGGGTAGTTAGCTCCGGGAAGCCGAAGGGGCTCCCCCCCCCCCAGAAAACCAGCGTTGAATATAATGAAACTCCATTTTCTGGATGAGACCTGGAGGCTCCCCGGCATCCCTCCCTCCCCCTGGTCGGCGGTTTTTCATGTGTTTTGTCATCCAGCCTCAGAACTGACGGGTGGATAGCCGGCGTGAGGGGTCTGGAGCTCCCTTTTTCCCCTCCCGGGGAGGGGGGGGAGCTGCGCAGACCGCGGCACAGCGACATGTAACGTCATGCTCGTTTGTTCGTTTTATTTTGGGGAGTTCTCTCTTCTTGTTTGGCTTTTGTTAGCAAATGTTACCAGAATAGGGATTTGTTTTGGGATGCTTACCTTTTTGAGTGCCTGACCCAGTCAATGGCAGACATAGAATGCTTCCAACCACACGGGGGTTTCTATAGGCCATTGCTTCCCATGCCTCTCAGAGGGGGCCTGGTTCTGGCTCGCAGGCCCCGGTAGGCCCACAGAACTCCATAAACATGACTGATGCCAAAGTCTGACATTAGCCTATCAGCCTGGATAAGCTCCGGGGAGCCTCCGGGTCTCGCCCAGAAAATGGCGTTTCATTACATTTAACACTGGTTTTTTCCTCCTCTCCCATCAAGTTAATCCGGTTTATTGAAGTTAACTTGATAATTAGGACCCTTCCTGATCTGAATAATAAATGATTATGGTTGTAGGCTCTCTTGATTCCAGTTGGAAAGATGTAGTCATGTATAATGTTATTGTATTAAATATTCAATATGTATGAAATGCAAACCAGTTCCAAAAATAATGCAGGAATGTATTGCAACTAAAATTATACAGGCATCGGTTCAATTCTAAAACTACTACAGGTACTGATTGTTCCAATAGGTGGATTGCATTAATGTTGCATATAGTATTGTGCTATAATTTTAAAGATATTATTTATTGCTTGTTATCTTTTAATTAAATAATCTGATGCATAGTATTAATGATCACTTCGTCATTCTCCTCAGTGTTTACAGTCTTGTATATATTTTATATTTTTCTTGACAGCTACCATAGTGTGCTTGATTTTCCACCAGCGACATGAACGACGCTATGCACAGTACGAGTCACTACTCAACTTGGATGACTCTGACGACCCCAGGTCTCGTACTCCAAGAGGGTCTCCACGCACGTCCACAGTAGATGCTCCAAAATTAAGTAAGTTTATGTGCTACAGACTGATCAACTCGTTACAATGCTCTTTTAGTTTCTTGTGTGTCCATCTATAAAATTTTGATAACAGTTAGTTATATGATGACATGTCATATGTCGACTGGGAGCCGGTCAGCCAAGATGACAGCACGCTGGATTTGTGATCCTGTGGTCCCGGGTTCGATCCCAGGCGCTGGCGAGAGACAATGGGCAGAGTTTCTTTCACCCTATGCCCCCGTTACCTAGCAGTAAAATAGGTACCTGGGTGTTAGTCAGCTGTCACGGGCTGCTTCCTGGGAGTGGAGGCCTGGTCGAGGACCGGGCCGCGGGGACACTAAAGCCCCGAAATCATCTCAAGATAACCTCAAGATAGCCTCATGATGAGCTTAAAAATTATTTTGTGTATTTATGAAGAGCAACCTACTTAGCAGAATTGGTCAATTGGCCCCTTAGGTAAATTGCAGTGTGTCTGTAGACCAGGATCATTAAGAGGATGAATCACAGTGTGGCTGAAGATATGATGACCAAAAAGTGAAGAGATGAGCTCATCCTTGACCATTATCAACACAATTTGAAAATGGTCCAGGACAGACCGAAACGACATCGTTTCTTCACTTTCTGATGTGTGATTTGGTCATCAGGATAATGAACACTCAGGCAGGACAATATTATAGCATTAATGCTGTAGGCAGTTTCCAAACATCCTAGCAGGTTCATTACCTGTAATGTGTTATGGTCACTGGATATCAATCCAGAGTGTAGTGATTGACAAAATGGTGAACACCAGGAGAGGTACTCCACTATAGTGCATTTTCCTGCTTGGTAATCCACTAAAACCAGCACCAGGTGGCAGCATTATGTGCTCCATAGGTTAACATATTTAAGACTAATGTGGAAGAAAATATATGGGTAAACTTGCCTGGGATAGAGAGTGGGGCTGAAGCAGTAGAAGAGTGCAGATAAATACCACTTGGAAGAGAAACCAGAGATGAGAGCACCTGTAGTGCATTCATCCATCAACCAGATGCTCAGTGTGATAGATAGACTACAATGCCACACAAATGTTTGTCATTTTTAGACAGTGGGACTTGACCAAGGCTGTTGATCCACCTGAAACCCCTCTCCTAAATCTTGGGTCATGAAAGGCCACCAAAGGTGGCCTTTGCCCTTCAAGTGCAGTTATTGATCAAAGGTTGAAAAAATGAAACGCATCCAAAAATATATTTTCTTATAGAATTATTCATTTGTATGCGAAATGTAAGGAAAACTTGAAAAAAATATAATTGTAAATTTTTACTGGTTGGTCGAGCTGTGAAAGGTTGTGTGGTTGAGATCTGTGGAGGTGTGTCTGGACACCTGGTAATGCCTTTGGTGATACAGTGGTCTGGAAGGTGCGACTCCGCTCTTCACCATGGATTTTTTTTTTTTTTTTTTTTTTTTTTTTTTTTTTATCTTTTATCACTTGTTTTCATGTACTGTGTTTTACTGTAATATGAATGTTGAATAACTTGAGTTATGAGCACATAATTCACAAAAACTAAGGTAAGGATTGGGATTGAGTACATTACTGTCTAATAAGGATATATTTTTAGGCCTACAATGTACACTATGTACAATATTTCTGTTCTATTTTATATTTAAGTATGTTTTCAACAAGTGTATGCTTCATTACAAATAATATATACATCAACCCATCCTCCTGTTTACATAGTACCTATTGTGACGGTCGTCAGTAGTCACGAATTCATACATCCTTAGCTTTTAGCTGGTAGTATACTGACTAGTGAGGAATTCTTTTAAAATAAATGAAGCTATAAAACAAACCCACACATTCTCAATATATTGACCTTGAATGTCTATACAATCAGTAGTCTGTATAATGAGAGTAATTCAGGTAAATATGTTTAAATACACCTATATGAGGCTCCTCCTATTTATTTATATATATATATATATATATATATATATATATATATATATATATATATATATATATATATATATATATATATATATATATATATTTTTTTAAAAAAGAAGAAAACAATAGAGTACCACCTCTAGCTGGAAGAAGGGGGACCCATAGCCTCGGAGGAAACCACGCATAACGCATTAGAGGGAATGTTTAGATCCCCTCCAATACAGTTTCTGTGTGCTTTTCTCCTACCACCCCGTTCCTTTTTTATTTTTTGTGCTTTATTATGCACAGTGATTAGAAGAATAAGAAGTGATTGTAGAAGTTCAATACCCATTGTTTCGTGTTCTGTCTTGTGTTGATGAAATTAATACCCTATTAATGCCACCTCTTGTTCTGTCTTGTGTTGATGAAATTAATACCCTATTAATGCCACCTCACCCCATCCACCTCACTCAAATGTAGATATAAACGAAATCGGAGATGCGTAAGTTCTATTCAGTTGTGTATTTGTAAACTAAAGTCTTTGAAAATGTAATAAGTTTTACGAAACGCGCTCGTGTCGCGTCAGACTAGAAATAAAAATGAATTTTGGAGAATTGATTTTTGATTTACCTCCAACAGTGAAAAGAAATGTACGAAAGATTGAGAAAATTCGTGTTAGAATTATTAATCTTACTTTTTCGGTCATATTTAATAATATATGTCTACAGGAAAGACAGCTACCAAAATATACTAATATATATATATATATTGAGAAAATTCGTGTTAGAATTATTAATCTTACTTTTTCGGTCATATTTAATAATATATGTCTACAGGAAAGACAGCTACCAAAATATACTAATATATATATACTGTATATATATATATATATATATATATATATATATATATATATATATATATATATATATATATATATATATATATATATATATATATATATATATATTAGTATATTTTGGTAGCAGTCTTTCCTGTAGACATATATTATTAAATATGACCGAAAAAGTAAGATTAATAATTCTAACACGAATTTTCTCAATCTTTCGTACATTACGCTTCACTGTTGGAGGTAAATCAAAATCAATTCTCCAAAATTCATTTTTATTTCTAGTCTGACGCGACACGGGCACGTTTCGTAAAACTTATTACATTTTCAAAGACTTTAGTTCACAAATACACAACTGAATAGAACTTACGTATCTCTGATTTTATATCTACATTTGAGTGAGGTGGGAGGGGTGATGTGGCATTAACACAAGACAGAACAAGAGGGGATATTAATAGGGTATTAAAAGTATCAACACAAGACAGAACACAAACAATGGGTATTGAATAGAAGTGTAGTAATATTTCTTGATGCTTCTATATTGGAGCGGAGTCTTGAGGTGGGTAGAATATAGTTGTGCAATAATTGGCTGTTGATTGCTGGTGTTGACTTCTTGATGTGTAGTGCCTCGCAAACGTCAAGCCGCCTGCTATCGCTGTATCTATCGATGATTTCTGTGTTGTTTACTAGGATTTCTCTGGCGATGGTTTGGTTGTGGGAAGAGATTATATGTTCCTTAATGGAGCCCTGTTGCTTATGCATCGTTAAACGCCTAGAAAGAGATGTTGTTGTCTTGCCTATATACTGGGTTTTTTGGAGCTTACAGTCCCCAAGTGGGCATTTGAAGGCATAGACGACGTTAGTCTCTTTTAAAGCGTTCTGTTTTGTGTCTGGAGAGTTTCTCATGAGTAGGCTGGCCGTTTCTCTGGTTTTATAGTAAATCGTCAGTTGTATCCTCTGTTTTTTGTCTGTAGGGATAACGTTTCTATTAACAATATCTTTCAGGACCCTTTCCTCCGTTTTATGAGCTGTGGAAAAGAAGTTCCTGTAAAATAGTCTAATAGGGGGTATAGGTGTTGTGTTAGTTGTCTCTTCAGAGGTTGCATGGCTTTTCACTTTCCTTCTTATGATGTCTTCGATGAAACCATTGGAGAAGCCGTTATTGACTAGGACCTGCCTTACCCTACAGAGTTCTTCGTCGACTTGCTTCCATTCTGAGCTGTGGCTGAGAGCACGGTCGACATATGCGTTAACAACACTCCTCTTGTACCTGTCAGGGCAGTTGCTGTTGGCATTTAGGCACATTCCTATGTTTGTCGAACATAGGAATGTGCCAAACCAAACCTCTGGTTTGGTTTGGCGAACCAAACCATCGCCAGAGAAATCCTAGTAAACAACACAGAAATCATCGATAGATACAGCGATAGCAGGCGGCTTGACGTTTGCGAGGCACTACACATCAAGAAGTCAACACCAGCAATCAACAGCCAATTATTGCACAACTATATTCTACCCACCTCAAGACTCCGCTCCAATATAGAAGCATCAAGAAATATGGACCAATAGGCTTTCTACAAACACTTCTATTCAATACCCATTGTTTGTGTTCTGTCTTGTGTTGACACTTTTAATACCCTATTAATATCCCCTCTTGTTCTGTCTTGTGTTAATGCCACATCACCCCTCCCACCTCACTCAAATGTAGATATAAAATCAGAGATACGTAAGTTCTATTCAGTTGTGTATTTGTGAACTAAAGTCTTTGAAAATGTAATAAGTTTTACGAAACGCGCCCGTGTCGCGTCAGACTAGAAATAAAAATGAATTTTGGAGAATTGATTTTTGATTTACCTCCAACAGTGAAGCGTAATGTACGAAAGATTGAGAAAATTCGTGTTAGAATTATTAATCTTACTTTTTCGGTCATATTTATATATATATATATATATATATATATATATATATATATATATATATATATATATATATATATATATGTATGTATGTATGTATATAAATGATGTTCATATGATTTTCTCAACTTTATCATTTGAACATAATAATAATCATGGCACTACTGAAGGCTTATTGGCTCACATGAGGCAGGTCCTATATATATATATATATATATATATATATATATATATATATATATATATATATATATATATATATATATATATATATATATGTCGTACCTAATAGCCAGAACGCACTTCTCAGCCTACTATTCAAGGCCCGATTTGCCTAATAAGCCAAGTTTTCATAAATTAATGTTTTTTTCGTCTACCTAACCTACCTAACCTAACCTAACCTAGCTTTTTTTGGCTACCTAACCTAACCTTACCTATAAATATGGGTTAGGTTAGGTTAGGTAGGGTTGGTTAGGTTCGGTCATATATCTACGTTAATTTTAACTCCAATAAAAAAAAATTGACCTCATACATAGAGAAAAGGGTTGCTTTATCATTTCATCAGAAAAAAATTATAGTAAATATATTAATTCAGGAAAACTTGGCTTATTAGGCAAATCGGGCCTTGAATAGTAGGCTGAGAAGTGAGTTCTGGCTACTAGGTACGACATATATATATATATATATATACTGTATATATATATATAAATGTCGTACCTAGTAGCCAGAACGCACTTCTCGGCCTACTATGCAAGGCCCAATTTGCCTAATAAGCCAAGTTTTCCTGAAATAATATATTTTCTCTAATTTTTTTCTTATGAAATGATAAAGCTACCCATTTCATTATGTATGAGGTCAATTTTTTTTTATTGAGTTAAAATTAACGTAGATATATGACCGAACCTAACCAACCCTACCTAACCTAACCTAACCTATCTTTATAGGTTAGGTTAGGTTAGGTAACCAAAAAAGGTAGGTTTGGTTAGGATAGGTAGGTTAGGTAGTCGAAAAACAACTAATTCATGAAAACTTGGCTTATTAGGCAAATCGGGCCTTGCATAGTAGGCTGAGAAGTGCGTTCTGGCTACTAGGTACGACATATATATGTATATATATATATATATATATATATATATAGGACCTGCCTCATGTGAGCCAATAGGCCTTCAGTAGTGCCATGATTATTATTATGTTCAAATGATAAAGTTGAGAAAATCATATGAACATCATTTATATACATATCCTGTAATGATGGAACTTTACACAATTACGATTACCACATTTACACATTAACATTTGTGACGACAGCTATATAAACATAGTGAGGTTACCATGAAATGATAGCACAAGTTTGTGTCAAGGTAAACTTCATTACATCCATATAAAGCTAATATATTCATGTTGGTATCATACATGTTATATTAGCTAATATATTCATATTAGCATCATACGTGACAATAATAATTTAAATCAAGATATGATAAGTTCATTACACCATGCCTCAACATGTGGCAGTAACCGTGCTCTGAAGTTAAAGTACTGTATGGTAGTGACTATAAAAGTTGTACACCCGAGGATACTCAGAGGGCTAACTAAGCTTGGTACGCTTATACAGCAGCTGTGAAATGCAAACCTTTGTGCATAGAACTATAGATCTAGGGGCTCAGGAGGAGACACATTAGAGAGAATTTGACGAGTAGCCAATGCGTATTGATGTAAAGAAATGAGAGGAAACGATGCACCCCAGAATGCACAAAGCTTTAAACACAATAGGCCCCACTAGTAAAGGCTTGGTTTGTTCTTGGCAAGGAAACTAAGGTTTGGATGAAGACTAGCTACAAGATGAACCAGTTCACAAACCCTGTGACAAATAGAAGCCAGAAGACTATAATTTGAAGTGCTTCTTGGCTTCTTGTCATCCCGGGTCTATAGTCACTGACAGCCTGTCAGTAAAGTCTGTCCTCTCAAGTTCAGGATGCAGGCCTCGGGGAGCTACCAAGGTTGTATTCAGAAGTAGAGCATTTCATTTCTCTTTCCCCCTCCCCCATGGAGCTGATGCTTGAGTAGTAAAAAAAACTGTTAAATCTGTCACCAGTGTCACTCAATAATGCAAGACGGCTCTTAAACAAATCTTGTAACATTTTTTTTGTCTTCATCACTTGGTCATGAATAAGAAACCTTTTACAATTTACTAAGTGGTATTCCATATAACAAAAAAGCCAGAATATTTTAGTGTGTGTGTGTGTGTGTGTGTGTGTGTGTGTGTGTGTGTGTGTGTGTGTGTGTGTGTGTGTGTGTGTATGTACCAGGATGATGAACACTAGAGCCGGCCAACATTGTAGCAATGATGCTGCCTAACTACTCTGCATTAAAGATTTATCCATGACCTATGAATGGTATATCATTTTGTTCTTAAACTGATGTTAGTTTATTAATTAATTATCTATTGATCAGATCGTTTTATCATTGTTTACATATAATGATGGATATTTTGGGCTGCTCATCATATGTATATATATATACATATATATATATATAATTTTTCTTGATGGAGGTGTATAGTACAGTATTACAAGAATATATGATCAACATCCTTAAATTTTATTGCAGATATCAATGGCGTCACAAGCAGCACTTCCACTGATGTCGAGGACAGGACACGAGATCCAGAGACTGGTGTCGATGACAACATTTCATCTGATAGCGATAGGTTGGTACTAAAATGTAGAGTTGCTATGGTGAACACATGTAGATACAGTAAAGTACTTATGTATAACGTGTGTGTATATAGTGTAATAACAGCAAAAGAAATATGTTGGGAGGAGTCATTTTGGTGAGGGACGGAGTCAGGCTGTCGTCTGGTAGCTGCTGTGTCACTTGTCAAGCAGTTTTTTGTGGCCACTATGTCGTTTGGACACCATGCCAGCTTAGTTGTTTAGTTATGTTGAACAAAATATGTAGATACTTATATATAACGTGTGTGTCTATAGTGTAATAAAAGCACAAATTGTGGTGCTTTTGTGATAAAAGCGCAGTATTGTGGGAGGAAGAATGTTGGCGTGTAAGGTGTTGGAGGGAGGGAGGTAGCCTCTGCTGGCTGAGTGTGGCAGCCCACTCTTGTTGTTTACACTCACCATACCAACTTTGTGGTTTGCTATGGTGAACAAAACATGCAGATACTTATATATAATGTGTGTATATAGTGTAGTAACAGCAAAACTATTTGTTTATTGTTTTAAGAACATAATAATTGAATCACTAATATATACATCATACTTTTGAGCATAGCGATGGTTCACACTTTTTATTATATATATATATATCACACTACACACTATTGAATAATATTATTGAAAAAAAAAAAAAAAAAGAGAAAAATCAATTGGAGACATTGAAATAATTAGAAATATCTTTGTGGTAATCTCCTCTGCCTGCACTGTCAGGCACAGACAGTGCAGGTGGAGGAGACCAGCGCGGGACGCGTACTCTCTTAGCGCCTCAATTTTGCCAGACTTCCTCGCCGTATTGCCACCAAAATGTCACCTATGATTTGTTTATTGTTTTACCATTATCTGGAAACACATTTTAACAATCTTAGAAGAAAACAAAACATTACTTTTTTTCTTGTGCCTGGCAGTCTTGCAGGCTATAATCACAAGTGCTGGCCAGAAGTTAATGTTGATAAAACTCTCTTAACGTACCAGTTGTACCGCTGCTTTTCAACTGGGATATTTTGCTCTTCCTGCCATGCCTCCTGGTCTCATGTCGAGTTATTTTTGTGTGCAGATTTGGAACCAATCCGTCAAATATTTTTAAGTGTAAATTATGTATGTATGTTTCTCGCCTGTACTTTAAAAATACAGATTTAAACATTTTGTCTGGTCCCAATAATTCAGATGTTTTATTGAGTGGATTTAGACAGTATCATATTTTTGCATGTTCTCCAGGTCAGCAGATTCTCTAGCTTTAGTTAGAGAAACTATTAGGGTTTCTAGGTTATTAATGTACAACAATATTTGACTTTAGAGAGCACCAGTGTCTTAAAAAAGTACCATCATTGGCATGTCATCTCTTGTTTGAAAGGTTCTTGTTATTCACCCTCTCATTTTTCTTGTAGTTGACACATTGTGTTCTTAAGAGAAAGGCCTTCCAACATGATTACTCCCAAATCCTTTATGTTGCTTTTTTGTTCTATACTTTGATTCAACTGCATTTTATGTGTGGTTTCCATTTTGTTATTTAAGTTTTTGCCATAGTGCAGGAGCTGGAACTTCATTAAGCATCATGTTACTTTCTGTGGCCCATTGAAAGACTTGATTTACATAAGCTTGAAGGTTTGATGTGTGTGTATATATTGTCTGCGCTCATGAAACTCCTAGTATTGTTTGCAAAGGATGATACAGTACTATAGTTTGTGTCCTTGACTATGTTCTTGTCTATGGAAATGTTAGTGTTGAGAGAGGTAATGAGCACGTCAGATATAAATGGGTAGGAGGCAAGGCATAATGAGCTAGATCTCACTACCCGATAGTCACTGATAGGTAAGCACTCTTTTTTAAGGAGTCCTTAATCCAAGCATCTTATCCACCTAAATTCTTCATTTTCCCTTAAATACTGCAAATTCCATTTTCCTTGTGGTTCATTTTTCTTGCATTTCTGCCCCACCTTGCATCACAGGATCTAAGGTATGTTCATCTCGTCCACTGAGCTCCATTACTGCACCCCATCAAGCATTTTCTGCAACATCTTCATCCAGTTTGTGTAACACAATGCCCCTTAAGATTTTTATCCAAACATTCTTTGTTTACACCCCACGTCATTCAGATTAATTATACAGTCCAGCTAAAACTAAACGGTACTAAATGTGAGGGTTTTATTTCAGCTTATTTAGTCCACACGATGAACTCGGTAGAGGCAACCGATTCCGTCCTGAATCGCGCAGTAGAGATGATTACTCTGATGGTGACCAACGAAACTTGTTGGTATCACAGCTCACGGAGCCAGAAGAGACCACCATTGTCAGAGATCGAGATGATGAGTTCCAGATGATGAGACATGTTGTTCTACTGCTTTTCCTCTGTGGATCTATGATTGTGGTAAGGCATCACACTAGATGTATGTTAATGTAAAATAGTAGCCACCAAGTCTGGTTCTCCAATTGGCAGCAATCTGTGAAGAAGTTCAAAGCCTCAGGGAAATGTTAATGTTAAGTGAACATACAGTACTATGAAAAGCACCTTTTTCTTGTCCTGAAATTCCTCCTGTATATCTTCCTGTCTTCTCCTCCATATCCTACTTCCTTCTACTTTTTGTCATAATCATGATCATTCTTTTTCTTATTCTTGTACTGATCAAATAAATTTAGAAAAGGCTAGTTAGTATATGATGATTTTCAAAGAGTTTGACTCGTTTTCCTTAGTCTGTGTGATTTCCTATTTTCTGTATGTGAATTGTGTCAAACATTTAAATGGGAATGATCATGCTCTTTTTTAACTTTGGTCTAAATAGAAAAGTAATTATTGTCAGTAGAATTCACTGGGTCAATATAAAATAGAAATTTTGCTTCACATTTTCTTCATCCATAGTCTCAATTCAAAATGCATTGTAATCATCTCTTAAAAGATATGTGATACTTGCATTACATGATAATAGTAAATTATATGTTTAACATGTTGTTCTTACTCAGGGATTTGCCTTGTGCATGTGGACGTTGGTGACGGAGGAGGTGAATGGCGTGTACGTTGAACTGGTGTTCCTCGACATTGTTCTTAACTTTGGCCAAGGGTTCTTCACTGCTGCAATCTTTGGCTTGGACACAAAGCTCATCATGATGCCACTATTAAAATGGTGAGTATAACATGCACTAGACGAATGGGAGAAGGTGTAGGGGGGAAAGGGATGTCCCCTTCCCCTTGTTCTTCAAGCATATTCATGCATGTTCTTCAGATATATTGTCTGAGGAATACTCTTCAATATGCTAGTAGTTTTACTTCATGGTAACCAAATTGAAATAGCTGTAATTAGTTTAGTTTGCCATATAGTTAAGAGGTATTGTCCCAGGTAACTTTTTCCTTAGGGGTAAGGCCATATAACATAAGTGCAACAAAAGATTATTAATTCTTTGACATGAATATGAGTTTAATAGAACAGTTAGTAAATGCCTGAGCTGTATGTGGATGCATTCAAGGCAGAAGTTTATACAAACTATAAATCTAATACCAAAAAAAAACTATAAATCTTTATACAAACCAACAATCTAGTTTATACACATAGTATGCTAAAGGAATATGCAGATACAAGCACATGTAAATTAGAAAAGAAAAATAATGTAATTACCAATATCCCAAGGAATGACACCAGACTCGCTGGTGTCATTCAATGAATAATGCAAATTCAGGAGCAGATTCACTGCATCTTTCAGCATTGAAATTCACCCCTTTTGCTTAACATACAGTTTTTACAATTTAACAGAAGTTAAAATGTAGTTATGTTACCTGGGTAAGCATGTTACTAAACTGTTGGGACATGACAGAGCTGTCAGTATGACTGAGAATCAGCTGGTGATTACTGCTGGCTCTACCAAGCAACAAAAATCTTCCTTCATAGTTGTTTGAATAACAAAGCTTTTTGGAAATTTTTGGGCCACTTTTTTTTAAGATGCTTCATAACATCACTGAACAATCTTGACCTCTTGATACTTACTTTGTCGATGGAAAAAGTATATTTCTTTTAATATATTACAACTGTATGCAACACGAGATGAAGATACATCTTAATTTTCTAACACAGTTGAACTGTAATGATTTTTTCTTCCAGGTGGCGAAAAATGTGTCATGGTGCAGCAGCACTTAAGCTTCCTGCGTGGGATGATCTTGATCCCAAGACTCGACAAACATGCGAGCAGTTTACGAACTACCACATGGACAAGTGTATGAGGGACATTGTCAGGGATAGAAGGTGAGTGAAGGAGGCTGAGAAGGAGTAAAGAAAGATCTAATCCAAGGTGATATTTGGACTTGGACAATTAAGCATCAAGTGTTTCAGTATTCTGCAATTAGTTATGGACATGACCAGCATGATAGTTGATAACTTACGTCTTGTGTTAGCAATGTTTCATTAGTTACATCATCCTTCAGTTATAATACCCCTATATTGATTACCGAATAGTTAATCATACCATCATGCTAAAGTAAATATGGCATTACTATATTGGTACTATAAAGTGTTAACATAGCTATTCTGTGCATTCTATGCAAAATGTTGGAAAAAATTATAAAAAGATTTGTAGAACATTTGAAGAGAATAAAGTTTTATAACAAAATTACAACATGGCTTCAGAGACGAAAAAATCATGCCTAACACTGTTGATTGAAATCTGACCGGGTCATAAAAATAAAACTAGAAGGGTAAGTAGGCTGTGGGAAAGCGTTCCCACAGCCTACAGGATGCAGTCCCTCACAAGTGACTTAATACATAGGATGGAGAGAGAAACAGATATAACAGGCAAGATACTGGACTGGATACTGGAATGGACAGGAAACAAAGGATCATAGAGCATTGTTTCCCAGCTCTCTCTCTCTTTTTCCCCTCTTTTCCAACACTATTCTCACCTGTGGACCCCCACAACCAAACACAAGGAGCTAGCAAAATTGACAGTAGCCATTGTTGTGACAAATGCATACGTTCATGTCGCAAGCCTTTCAATGTTGTTCCGGTTAAACTTCATGTAAATGATGACATACAGTTCAACACTCATAAATGGTTCTTATTTTGTTAAAGTACAATACAATATTGTATACAGATAAATCTACTAAAATATTTTATTGTTGTAAATAATCTTAGTGTAGTGATAGTAGCCTCCTGTGAGTTCTGGGTGAGAAGGGCAGTTAGGAATCCTTATTAAACTGTCATCCTTGCCTTTGATACTTTCACATTCTTCCATAGCAGGTACTGCCCACTGCAACAGTCTTTGCTGATAGGGCATAAAGATCATGCATGTCACACAAACGAACTAATGCATTTAAAAATTTGGGATGGATAAATTGGAGAATTTTGTTATCAGCCTTAGCTTGCCAGATCCACAGTTACATTCGTTATGAATCAGTTTCACACATTCATGGTGAGCAACATAACAAATGATGGTTACAGATATTAATTGTTCTTTTCAACTGTAAATATAGTAAATTTTTATGTTGTGAATCATGTTACCTTGAAAGTAATTTTTCTTCAGCATTTTAAAGACTATTTTATAGTTAACAATTGTTCTTTTTGTATCAGATGGAGATTAAAGAATCTGGCGGCTGTGTTTGGAGGAAAGGAGCTTGTTGACTGGCTGCTAATGGTGGGACTCGCACACGACCGAACTGATGCTGTGAAGTATGGCCGGCAGCTGCTCCAGGGCGGCATTATCCGTCACATTGACAACCTCCATCACTTTCACGATCAAGCACTCTTTTACACATTCAGGTTTAATGAAGGTGCTATACATTGATGGCACCAAGTGTTACACACACCTGCCAACACAATTTTATTGAAAGGGCAAAAATAAGACATATACATATAACATTGTATGGTTTGTGTTATATATATATTTTTTTTTTAAGGAACCATCACCATAGATGAGACGTGTAATACACATTATTTTTAATAATTTATTTTACTAGGGCATTTAAAAAATGTAACCAAAAAGAGTCGGGTTTGGTCATACATATAAATCTATTTTTATGAAATTAAATTATGGAATTTCTAATTGGTAATATAGGTAGAGAAAATCAGTCTTGAATTATATATTAATATGATCGTATGTTGTAGTTAAAACTGACCCTTTCACTCTGTGGAATGTACAGTACCCGGTATTTGTAAATATTCTTTACCACTCTGGACAATAGTAGAATGTTTATGTACAGAACAAGTTTTTGTTGCATCTTCAGCAACACTTGAATATCTAGCAAGATGTAGACAGGTTCTCTGGGCAGCCATTAAAAGTGGGATGTGTCCTAAGGCAAGTACAACAATAGATTCAAATACATTTTCCAACTGGGAAATACACTCTAGGACATTCAGATAGTGATTTAGATGCAGATTTAATCTCTTGGATTAGAATGTATTTTACTTCAGTTTGTGCACAAATCATTGACTATAGAGAGGGAGTCGGTTTCTTTAATGCAAATGCAACCAGTGAGAGTATCAGTTTGAAGATGATGTAGATTATAATGGTTCTTTCGTGGTACTGTATTTAGTCGAATCAGTATTTGGTAAAACCAAAGTTCACATTTTTAATGTCTGGATCTATTCCACCCATGGGAGGTGTATACTAAAGGCCACACAGTGAGAGGGTTAGCTTTTAGTAAGATTCTTTATGCATGCATCCTTGAATGTGGGAAACAGGGCATATAGAATGTGATAATGCATGGTAGAAATGACAATTGGTGTATTTATACATTTCCACAGAAGTCTTGTGAACTAAACAGTGTCAGCATGATTAGGCGTTGAAAAAGTTGTTCCATAAGTATTTGTAAGCGTTTTTTTTTAATGAGCAGTCTTGCAACCTATGAAAACGACAGGATTATAATTTTTCCCATTTAAATTTTGTTTGTTTTTTAATTCTGGTTTTAGTTTAGGCAGTTACAGAAAGGATATATTCCACATTAATAACACCTAACTTAAGATGTCACAGTCTTCAGCTTGCTTTGAAAATACTGTTACCTTACCTTGAGGTTACCTTGAGGTGCTTCCGGGGCTTAACGTCCCCGTGGCCCGGTCGTCGACCAGGCTTCCTGGTTGCCGGACTGATCAACCAGGCTGTTGGACGCGGCTGCTCGCAGCCTGACGTATGAGTCACAGCCTGGTTGATCAGGTATCCTTTGGAGGTGCTTATCCAGTTCTCTCTTGAACACTGTGAGGGGTCGGCCAGTTATGCCCCTTATGTGTAGTTATACTGAGAATCCAGAAATTTATAATGGCTAGAGATTCTTTCCAAACACATTAGCAGCATGGGATGGGATGTCTTGGCCACAGCTGAGCATGTTATGCAGTGTTGAGTAGAGCAAGTTGGTACTTGAACAGTCTGCTGCAAGTGTAGTTTTTAATACTACTTTTAGGATCTTGAGATATATTGCAGAAAATTACTTGCTTGTTTAAGCTTCTGATGAAATAAACATGAAATTATCCATATTCTAAGCTGCTTTTACAAATTTGTCATGTCCAAATAACACTACAGGATTGTCACAACTGTTGCCCAGTGTACTGCACTATAGTAATCATAAATTATACAATAGTAATAAACTATATGCATGGCTAAAAGAAGCCTTGTGGTATTGGTTTTTGGTGTACAGGTATTCTGATCCAACTTCAACCCAGCTATAAATGCTTTCTCATTGCCTCAGTGTATCATAGGGGCATTACTGTTGAGTATGCACGCACGTCAAGGTTACATTGTTGCTCAACTTGTTTGGATAAACCAGAACTGCCTTGTGTCCCTAGGACTGCCTGGGAGTGTGTGGAGAGATGTTTGGAGTGCCATAAGTAATCTGTTGTAGCAAGATAATTCCTTGCTGCACACTTAATAATCTTTACAGACTTCCATTTTAAAAGAATAACATGATATTCGTATGTTACACACTCGGACCTTGACAAAGCACTCGGAAGAGTGCGAAAGACGGTGTAAATTCCTTGCACAAATACACAAGTGTGGGTTTTATCCTGTAACACAAGTACTCCATGCAACCAATTACTAACCACAAGAAAGGTGATTGTTAAAGAAAATATGTAAAGAACAAATCTGTAAATTGTTTGCTCATGTAATTAATGTATGCCATTGGGTCAGAACCTTTTCAGTATTACCAGTAGTATTTACTTGCATAATTTATGCAGCATGGATCCCACGATTATTAATTAGTTTCCAATAGACGAGCTTGATTAAATCACAAATATGTGCATAAGTAATAGACATTTAGAAGGAATTGCAAGCATTGTTAGGAATTCAGTAACCTGTGCATTGTGGTCAGTAGACCTTAATTACAAAAACCTAAAAATGAAATATGAAGTGATAACATGGAATGAAATATCTTTGAAAGAGGTATGTACCGAGGGGCAGATCAATTATGGTGCTAAGGTTGGGTTGAAAGATTAATGTATATTCTCTTCAGTAGGTAAAACCCAAATAGAGGCTGTAGTTTAAATACATTTAAAGGTGCAAAGATTAGGTTGTGAAATAAAAGGTTTGCAAAAGCTGCCATAATGTATTGTGACAGGTAGTTAATAGTCAAATATATTTAGTGATCAATAGGAAACCAAAGTTTTACTGTATTTTTTAATAAACAGCTGTAGATGTATTAATCTATTGCAGTATAGTAACTTGTTCTTTGTTGGTTGCATGTTTAAGTAAATGCTAATTTGTGTAAAGAAGGAAAATGTCTACATTATGAGTGAATGTGATGAAACCTGCTGATATTTATTACTCTAAAATACAAAATAAAATCTGATTAACAATGAAATAAGTATTTAAAATGTGCAGATGAGTCGGTAACGTGGCTGAAGATGTCATGTCCAAAACTCTCATCAGAAACGCCGTTTGTCTGTCCTGGACCGTTATCACATCACGAACGCTACTTGATAATGGTCCACGACACACTGAAACTACACTGTTTTATCAATTTTTTCATGTGTGGTTTGGATATCATACTTCAAATGTGTACAAGCTAGTGAAAATGTGTTTTTTTTTTTTTTTAATACACAAATGTCTTCATACTCAAAATACAGTTTAGAGCTTACAGTACATAGATATTGAGAAACATTTATGAAATAAGATGAATGGGTGCATACATACAGGAATGTAAGATAGCAGGTGTGCATTTGAGAATGGGCATATGTGTAAACATATTATTTATATATTTAGTGTTATAAACATGTGGATCATGTTACACACCTAGTCACTAGTGTGCGATATTGCCGAATGTTACAATGTAGTCCTTGTGAAAATGTATTGCAAGTAATTTATTATTCAATAAAGTCTGCTAAAATCACTACACAAGTTTCTGTACGATTCCTTGCCATGAATGCAGCAAATGGCTGTGTGAAAAATAACAATTTTAATACTCCATATAACTTCTGCTAATTACATAATACATTAATGTACTGGTAATAGTCAAAAGAAGGCCCAAGCTGGGAAGACTTATGTAACACCATCAGTGTCATTGGACATTCAGAAGTGGCTAAATATCACTAAAGATGCCAATACAAGAAGAAAAGCACACCAGGCAAGCAATATTGAGGGTATTTAATTCACCCAGGATTCTAGAGAACGCCAAATGGCCACGAGGAACATTAGAGAAAGCAAGACATAATTGTCCTGAAAATTGGAACATTCCACAAGGTGTCAGTGGAATAATGTAGTTCGGACAATAAGGAGCAGGGCAGTGTTCCATCAAGTGCCCACAAGTGTGTATGACACTTATATACTGACCAAAGCCATTTCCAACCCATCTATTAAAGGTGGTAGGAAGAAAGCCATGGGGATAGGTTACCTTTAAGAGCATAGTTTGTTACCTGTAATACCAAATCAACAGTCACAGATTGAGGAATAAATGACTGGGTAGAAGTCTGATTAAGGAATGCCTTTTTGAAGGGGAAGGAACAGCACAAGTTCATTTAAAATAGTACCAATATGGCTGGGAGCCCAGCAAACTAACTCTTAAATTTTCTAAGAGATAAGAAACAGCCAATATTGGACTTCAACCACCATTGGATACCAGAGCCATGAAGGCGCTGCGAGTGTCAACCACAATGACAAAGGAATACAGACGTTGGAAAAGCAGTCAACAAAGAGCATACATAACTGCATGAAAGTTTGCCATGTAGATGATAGTCTCTGAGGTAGGGTGCAAATATAGGTTTGTCAGGAAAGACAACAGAGTAGCTAACACTTAGCAGAATTTGACCCATCTTTGGATAGGGCAATGTCGCTGGGGTGCAAAGAAACATGTACAATGAACTGGCATTTCATAACATTAGAAGGGGTACAATAGTTTACAATGTGGGTCAAGGCCTTGCTAAACTTAGCAAATGGGACCCTCCATGGGGTCAAGGATAGAATGACAAGATTGGAAATGTGAATCGAGAGAGAATCTAGCAAGTGGGACATCCTTACAGGAAAGGGAAGGAAACAGAGCCCATCTGAGGGGTAATGGTTAAGCACACAAGCAAGAGTCAGGATGATGTAGGGAACACGTAAGGTAGCAAAGGCCGTAACAATCCTGCAGAGACAGGTTACTAGTTTAAACAAACTCCAAGTAGGGAATGAATTAAATTTACCCGAGGGCCACTAACACTAGTGGCCTCGACGAGGACAGGAAGCCGTCCGCTTGTCAAAGGTCCCCCTATTTGCCCTTGATGATCTTTTCCAGTGGGATTTTACAATTTAAAAGCATTTTGGCATATATGGCTTCAGTGGGTAGCCAGTTCCATGGGTTTATAACCTTGTGGGTGAAAATGCATCGTCTGTTCTCAGTGCACCCCCTGGAAACACAAACCGTAACTGTCTCTATTTTCCCTTTGTTACAACTTGTAATAAAGTTGTTACATCTTGGCTTAACGTGTTTAGGACATATTAGAACATTGTTACAACTTGTTATATTGGTTGTTATAACTGGTTAGGTGTTAAAACTTGTTCGAACGTGGTACCAACGTCGTAGTTTCGGTGTGTGTTTGGCGGGCCAGAGTTGAAGCATAACCCAGTATGAGGCAAAGTATCAAGATGATTGTTGAAGAAGAGGCAGAAGAGTAGACAGGGCAACCATAATAGGATTTATACAGCATGAGAGAGGTGTATGTGTGTACTCACCTAATTGTGCTTGTGGGGGTTGAGCTCTGGCTCTTTGGTCCCGCCTCTCAACCATCAATCAACAGGTGTACAGGTTCCTGAGCCTATTTGGCTCTATCATATCTACACTTGAAATTGTGTATGGAGTCAGCCTCCACCACATAACTGCCTAATGCATTCCATTTGTCAACCACTCTGATACTAAAAAAGTTCTTTCTAATATCTCTGTGGCTCATTTGAGCACTCGGTTTCCACCTGTGTCCCCTAGTGCGTGTGCTCCTTGTGTTAAATAGCCTGTCTTTATCTACCCTATCGATTCCCTTGAGAATCGTGTGTGTGTGTAATTACCTAAGTGTAGTTACAGGATGAGAGCTACACTCGTGGTGTCCCGTCTTCCCAGCACTCTTTGTCATATAGCACTTTGAAATTACTGACGGTTTTGGCCTTCACCACCTTCTCACCTAACTTGCTCCAACCGTCTACCACACTGTTTACAAAACTGAATTTTCTTATATTTCTCCGGCAGCTTTGTTTCGTTAGTTTAAATCTATGACCTCTTGTTCTTGAAGTTCCGGGTCTCAGGAATTCTTCCCTATCAATTTTTTCGATTCCTGTTACTATTTTGAACGTAGTGATCATATCGCCTTTTTTTCTTCTATCTTCTAGTTTTTGCATACTTAATGCCTCTAACCTCTTCTCGTAGCTCTTGTCCTTCAGTTCTGGGACCCACTTAGTGGCATGTCGTTGCACCTTTTCCAGTTTGTTGCTGTGCTTCTTAAGATATGGGCACCATACAACTGCTGCATATTCCAGCTTTGGTGTAACAAAGTCGTGAACAATTTCTTTAGTATTTCTCCATCCATGTATTTAAAAGCAATTCTGAAGTTAAAAAGTGTTGCATAGGCTCCTTGCACAATGTTCTTAATGTGGTATTCAGGTGACAGTTTTTTATCTAGAACCACTCCTAGATCCCTTTCTTTGTCAGAAGTAAGGCACTGTGTATGTGTGTGTATCAGCTCCCCAAAAAGTACAGGACGAGACTAAGATACGGGCGTTGAGTATTCAACTTAGAGCTAAGAGAGAGAGAGAGAGAGAGAGAGAGATATATATATATATATATATATATATATATATATATATATATATATATATATATATATATATATATATATATATATATATATATATATATATATAATATATATATATATATTACTAATGATGCACTTATTAGTATGATTAACTTAATTCACGCAGCTCTTGATAAAAAGGAGTTTCCTGTTGGGTTATTTGTGGACCTGCGTAAGGCTTTTGACACTGTCAACCATCAAAACCTTCTTCTTAAATTACATCATTATGGAGTCAGAGGACACTCCCTGCAATACCTCAAATCTTATCTTACTGACAGGCTCCAGTATGTTTCTGTGAATAATACAATTTCTCCCACCCTACCCATCAACATTGGTGTTCCTCAGGGCAGCATACTTGGCCCTCTCCTCTTTCTCATCTACATTAATGACCTTCCAAATGCCTCCCAACACCTCAAACCAATTCTGTTTGCTGACGACACAACCTTCATTTACTCCAGTCCTGACCCCCTTGCTCTAAATGCCACAGTAAATACTGAGCTAGAGAAAGTCCATCTTTGGCTAACTGCCAACAAACTCACCCTTAACATTGACAAAACGTTTTATATTCTGTTTGGCAATAAATCCTCTAATCAGATAAATCTCAAAATAAACAATACCCAAATTTGTAACAAATTAGATGGCAAATTCCTTGGCGTTCTCATCGACCACAAGCTGAATTTCCAGGGTCACATTCTAAATATATCAAAAAAAGTTTCAAAAACTGTTGGCATTCTTTCTAAGATCAGATATTATGTACCCCGCCCTGCCCTGGTTACTCTCTATTACTCCCTCATCTATCCATACCTCAACTATGGTATTTGTGCTTGGGGTTCTACTTCCCAAAATCATTTACGACCTCTCATTACTCAACACAAAGCTGCTATTAGGACAATATCCAACTCTGGCCCCAGACATCACTCGGTACCCTTACTCAAATCTCTGAATATGTTAGATATTAAGTCACTGCACATTCTCTCTTGTGTATTATACATATATAAAACGCTGAACTGTAATGCCAATCCTGACCTCAAAAGCTTCATTGAAGGTTGTAACAGAACCCATGAGCACCACACCAGGAATAAATACAGTTTTGATATTCCTAGAGTACGACTTAATCAAACTAGAAATGCTCTACAAATCAAGGGACCCAGAATGTGGAATGACCTTCCCAACCATGTTAACCACTGCACTGCGCAAAGCGCCTTTAGGCGCTCGGAGAGTTGTGCTTTTTGTTTTTTAATTTGGCTATATTTTAATGTTTTTTAATGTTTTCATTACTATTTGTGTTTTGAAATGGAAATAGTTGACTTTGGAAACATTTTGACATTAAATTTACCTGAACATTTGTAAAAATAACAAAAATATGTCCTTGACAATGGCACCAAGACGTTTTTGCCGAAAATAGGTGAGCAGTGCAAGGGTTAAAGACTGTACCTCTCTCAACCAGTTTAAGATAAAAACTAAACACTACCTAATAAATTCCCTGTAACCCACCTCACTCCTTTATTGTCAACCCATGTCTGTTATTTTATTTTATTATTATTATTTTTTTTTTTAATCAACACTGTTTGTCAACCTATTGTATTTGTGCTGCTTTTTCAGTCATGTTCCCCCTTTTTTTATCTTTATTTGTATTTGTTTTCAACACTTTTTATTCTTTATGCTCAATTAGTATTAAGTTCTAGATATTAATGTTTTTCTTGCCCGAAACGCATTGCGTAATAGTGGCTTTAGGCATTGTATGTACTAGCTCTATCTATATATCAATCCATTAATGTAACATCACTTGTATGTATGTACCTTACCTGAATAAACATATTTATTTATATTTATTATATATATATATATATATATATATATATATATATATATATATATATATATATATATATATATATATATATATATATATATATATATATATATATATGTCGTACCTAGTAGCCAGAACGCACTTCTCGGCCTACTATGCAAGACTCGATTTGCCTAATAAGCCAAGTTTTCCTGAATTAATATATTTTCTCTAATTTTTTTCTTATGAAATGATAAAGCTACCCATTTTATTATGTATGACGTCAATTTTTTTTATTGGAGTTAAAATTAACATAGATATATGACCGAACCTAACCAACCCTACCTAACCTAACCTAACCTATCTCTATAAGTTAGGTTAGGTTTGGTAGCTTAAAAAGTTAGGTTAGGTTAGGTTAGGTAGGTTAGGTAGTCGAAAAACAATTAGTTCAAGAAAACTTGGCTTATTAGGCAAATCGGGCCTTACATAGTAGGCTGAGAAGTGCGTTCTGGCTACTAGGTACGACATATATATATATATATATATATATATATATATATATATATATATATATATATATATATATATATATATATATATATATATATATATATATATATATATATATATATATATATATATATATATATATATATGTCGTACCTAGTAGCCAGAACGCACTTCTCAGCCTACTATGCAAGGCCCAATTTGCCTAATAAGCCAAGTTTTCATGAATTAATTGTTTTTCGACTACTTAACCTACCTAACCTAACCTAACCTATCTTTTTCAGCTACCTAACCCAACCTTACCTATAAAGATAGGTTAGGTTAGGTTAGGTATTATTGGTTAGGTTCGGTCATATATCTACGTTAATTTTAACTAAAATACAAAAAAATTGACCTCATACATAATGAAATGGGTAGCTTTATCATTTCATAAGAAAAAAATTAAAGAAAATATATTAATTCAGGAAAACTTGGCTTATTAGGCAAATTGGGCCTTGCATAGTAGGCTGAGAAGTGCGTTCTGGCTACTAGGTACGACATATATATATATATATATATATATATATATATATATATATATATATATATATATATATATATATATATATATATATATATATTTATATATACACACACACACACACACACACACACACATGCATCATTCAACACTTATTATATTAATAATTACCTCGAGGATTAAATAATGAAATTCTAGCTTGTGTTGCCAATTTTACTTAAGAAGCATGCTATTAGCACTGACAAACTATACACATCTCCCAGAGGAGTATTACAAGGAGGAGTTGTCAAGGTGTGGGTGTCTTGATCACGGCCTTGCTTCTCTTACAATGAATGGGGCTCTAATGTTATGTCTCTCAACAACAACACAATAGAAACAAAATGTGTGAAGGAAGAAAATGCTTACTGATGTTTTAGCAAAAGTATTATACATAATTATTAATAAAAATGTTAAAACCTTGTATGTATACTGTAGTGACAAGGAAAAAAACCAGCATTTGGATGTACTGTAATGAAATGCCTGTTTCTGGCAGAGCCCCGGTTGTTCCCTGTAGCTATCTCACTGAGAATGCTCCGTACCACAGCAGTCACATGAGACGCACGAATTCTGTTTAACCTACCAGAAACCAGAGCCTCTCCCCCCCCCCCATTCACAGAGGCAGAAAAAACTAACAACATTCTGCCATTTCACAGGGAAAGCATCTAGAAAGTCAGCAAAGCTGCACAGACAACTGCTGGGTTTACAAGTATTAAAACCTTAAAACTGTCAACCAACTTCCCCAAACAATTCAAATGAAACAAAATAACTCGCTCGATATTAACTCGAACCAATTTACACCAGTCGCCACCACCAGGCAGCCTGAAGCTCGGGCCTCCACAAACTTGCCAGCCAGTTCTCGAGCAGATAAAAAAAAACATCCCAGTAAATTGACAAACTTGGAAGGGAGGGAGGGAGGGGAATCACCAAGGTTCTATCAGAAAGAGGCATTTCATTACATTCAATGCTGGGTTTCTGGGGAAGGCCTTTGGTGGCTCCCTGCAGCCAAATAACCAAAGAAAAGTGAGGGACTTACTGGGAAGGAAGAGAGATAGCAGGTACTTATGCAGAGATAACATAAGCCTGGAAAAACAAGCCCAGGGCAACTCAGGACCAATGAGGACCAGAGATATTGACTAAATACTTGGCCACCAGCTGGAGAAATTACTGACCTGGAGAGCGTGCAGAGATCCTTTACTGCTAGAATCCACTCAGTAAAACATCTAAACTATTGGGACCGACTAAAGAGCCTAAAACTGTACTCCCTTGAGCGCAGGCGGGAGAGGTACATAATAATTTACACGTGGAAAATATTAGAGGGGCTGGTCCCAAACCTGCACACAGAAATAACATCACATGAGACCAGAAGACATGGCAGGATGTGCAGAATACCCCCATTGAAAAACAGAGGTGCAACTGGTACTCTGAGAGAGAACTCTATCAACATCAGAGGTCCGAGACTGTTCAACACGCTTCCACTACACATAAGGGGCATAACTGGCCGACCCCTCACAGTGTTCAAGAGAGAACTGGATAAGCACCTCCAAAGGATACCTGATCAACCAGGCTGTGACTCATACGTCAGGCTGTGAGCAGCCGCGTCCAACAGTCTGGTTGATCAGTCTGGCAACCAGGAGGCCTGGTCGACGACCGGGCCGCGGGGACGCTAAGCCCCGGAAGCACCTCAAGGTAAGGTAACCATGACCCTGTTTAACAGCCAACCCCCCACATCCTGCCATAGCTCAAATATAGACCCAAAATATATTTGAAAAGATTGCTGTGGCAGCAGCATATATGTGAACATCATGGGCCCAAGAGTGGACCTCACGCTGACTAGACTTAATACTGTAGACAAACTGAGAAATACAAGCCTAGGAACCAGAGACAAAGGAGACAGGATCAACTATAAAAGTATTCACCAAAGTGAAACTGGTGGCATGCAGGTAGTAACAAACCACTACCACCACACAATTACACCCCCATCCAAATCAAGCAAGTATCAATAACCACCGGACCCTCCCAAAACCTGCCGACTCATTCTACACCAGAAAGAAAGATGGCTGCAAGTGAAGAAATTACAGGAGCAGAGTCCCTGCCTCCAGAGAAAAGCATGAAACTCACCAACCCAACAACCGGAGGCAAGGAAAAAACTGCCTTAAGAAAGTTATCCAGGGCCAAGGGATAACTAGAGAAGGCAAGAAAATCTAAGATGCTGTCAAGCAACCAAGACTGCTCAGAAGGAGCTTAAAAACACTGGCGTTAAGGATAGCGACATGGAGTACTACTGTGATGCACTAGGCAACACAGCAGCGACAAAACTGACTGGCGAGTTGGCGGAAGACCAAGCTCTGGGCCACCTGGTGGTGGTAATCGGTACTAACAGGTTCGAGCCAGTTTCAAGTGAATTATTTCATTTCATCTAAATCCTTCTGGAAATTGGTTGGCAGTTTTGAGGCTTTGGTTCTTGTAAAGCCACCAGTTGTCTGTAAAGCTTTGCTGACTTTCTGGATGCTTTCCTGGTGGAATGTCATTTGTTCTCTATGCTTCTGTGAGAGAGGTGGCCAGGTTCTGGCTGTGGTCGCCTGTAGGCCAAACAGAACCTGCGTGACTGATGTGACTGTTGTAGTACGGAGCAATCTCGGGGAGATAGCTCCGATATCACCAAGGGCTATACCAGAAAATCAAACTCCTTCATATTAATTTGGTGAACTGGCATTAACCAGCGAAGGGCATCAGAGTGGGTGTGTTCTTGACATAGGCCTGGTACTGGGGAGAAGTACCCCACTTTCTGCGACCGTGACTCTCCAACACAGGGATACCAGAGATGCGTGTGATCAGCAGGTAGTCCATCAGGGGGCATAAAACTAGTGAAATGCAAAAAAGGAAATTTTGTTTAAAGTTTCTAATGGGAACAAATACTGCAATCAATATACTCTACTAGTAATTTGATACTAATGGACTGCCAGTAAAATTTAATCTTTATTAATTTTGTTCATTATATATATTGTACTGCACAGTATAAAGCAAGACTGCTATTTAATTAAATTTTAGTGTTTAAATTATGCAAGTCCCCTTTCATGCATCAATTTGCTAATTCTAATCGAACTACAATCAGTATTAATGAGTTTTGAGCTAGTTTGGGTAATCACTTGTTCTGTGTGAATCATTTGCAGTTTCAGCAATTCGTTTCACAACAGACTGACCATGTGATACAAAGGTGAATGACAAAATTACAAACACATTTAAGAATGAAATATTGTACAGTGGCTGGTTGATAAATGACATAGTAGCGAGAGTAGAATACATTGAGAACAAAATCATGTTAAGATTTACAGTGACTGTGCTCCTGTTGCTCATTAATGCAGAGACCAACATTACCGTTACACTAATGAGCCAGCATTAGGCACAATGATTGCTGTTTTAGCATGCTGTCTGTGAGAAGTTTGCCACATTACCAGAAAAGGTAAAACCAATTACTTTGCAAAAAACCAGCATTGAATGTAATGAAACTCCATTTTCTGGGCGAAACCCGGAGGCTTCCCAGAGCTTATCCAGGCTGATATGGATATATTAGACTTTGGATTCAGTCAGTGTGAATGGAGTTCTTAGGCTTACTGGGGCCCACGAGCCAGAACCTGGGCCCCTCAGAGAGGTACAAGGAGCAATGGCCTATACAATGCCACATGTGATTTGGAGCATTCTATGTCTGTCATCAACCGGGTCAGGTACCCAGAAAGGTAAGCATCCCAAAACAAACCCCTATTATGGTTGAAACTACTACTAAAAAGCAAACTAGTGGACAGAATGCCCCAAAGAAAAACAAGTGAACGAGCATGACGTCACCACGTTGCAGCGTCACCGTCTGTGCAACTTTCCCCCTCCCCGGGAGGGGGAAGGGGGAGCCCCAGATCCCTCGCATCGCCTACCTACACCGCAGTTCAGAAGCTGGATGTCAAAAACACATGCAAAAACCGCCGACTGGGAGGGAGGGAGGGATGCCGGGGAGCCTCCGGGTCTCACCCAGGAAATGACGTTTCATTGCATTCAACACTTGTTTTCTGGGGAAAACCCCTTCAACTCTGTGGAACAACTTACCAAAAGACAAAAACAAAAGGGACTAACCCAGGAAACGGTCCGCACTCGCCCCTCCAAGCGAAGTTGAGACAACTGGCTGCAACCACCAACCCAAAGCGACACAGGTCCGACTAGGCCCCAGAACATTGACCAGGTATGGCAAGCCAGGACCCTGTTCGATCACCAAAAACCCCGCGCCCAAATGTCAACCCAAGACATGTTACCGAAGATGGCAGCAAGAGCAGCTAACTTACAAATGTCGTGATCACGGAGATAGACAGCAGTCTGGCTAGACCAAATAACCCTGCGGACAACCTGGGAGACCCAAACCCTGGAACTGGGAAGAAGGGAGACTGGATCAACCCAAAGCACATCACCAGACCACCAGACACAGAAGCCATGGTGCGCAAATAACGGCAGAGAGCCGCAACCAAACACAACACATGATGCACCCCCCAGCCTGTTCAACCAAGCATCAACAACCCAAGGATCCCTCTGGAAGCAGCTGTCTCATTCTTCCCCATAAAAGGAGGAGGAATTCACCAGAGACAAAAGAGCAGAAACCCCTACGCCGGAGGAGAGCATAAAGCTCCCCGACTTGACCCAACCCCCAGAGGCCAATGCCAACAGGAAAACAGCCTTCGAGAGACAATCCAGAACCGAAGGGGCCACTATAAACTGAGGGGAAAAGAGATAAGAGAGCACCCCTGTCCAACGACCAGGACTGCTCAGGCTGTGCATGAGCAGGCTGGAGGTGAAACAACACACGATACAGCTTGCAAAACAGCACAGAAGTAACATCGATGCCGAAAGCAAGCTGCAGCAGCTGCGCCGGTGCCACACGATACAAGGCGACAGTATTCGGCATAAGATGACGGTCTTGAAACAGCCACGAGAAAAAGGACAAGCCCACCTTAACAGAAAGTGAAGTATACCTACGAGAAAACAAAAAAAAACGGAAGGACCACCAGGAAACTTCATACTGCCGACGAGACATAGGACGCAGGTGGGACACCATCAATGAAGCCACCTGAGCACCATACAGATGGCGATAGACTCGAGTCAAAAATACCAGACGCGAAGACTCGAGGAGAAGATCGAACCAGCCACGTAATGGACAGGACCGATCAGCTGAAAATGGCAGAGCCATGGAAAAACCCCTGGGTTCGGAAACCGAGCAAGCAGCGTCTGAAACCAATGCTGGGGCAGCCACCAAGGACCCATGAGGAATACTCTCCCCTGGTAAATCTCCAAGCGAGCTAGGACCTGGAGTAACAGCTGAACCAGGGGGAAAAAAGTACAGGTAACCCCACCTCGACCGGTCTTGCAGAAAAATAATGATCTCGACGGCCTCACAATCGGGGAAGAGTGCCACATATACCGGAAGATGCCTCGACCACGCCGACGCAAAGAGGTCCACTTCCAAGAGCCCGTACCAATTGCCAAAGCCAACTGAAAGAGTCGGTCCATTCCGAGGAGAGGGAAATGAACCGAGAAAGACTGTCTGCCAGAATGTTGGACACCCCCCCCCCCCCCCGAACGTGAACGGCGAGGAGAGCCAAACCCCGAGAACTCGGCAGATGAGTCACCCGAAGCGACCAGTCCCAAAGAGCCAAGGACTGCATCGAACCCCCTCGGTTTAGGCAATGACCCACTGGGGAGCAGTCCGAATGGAGCCTGATCATCGATCTGCGAGCAACCCGAACCTCTTTGAAGCGACATGCACACCGCCGCAAACTCCTGCATTGCGCTGTGGGCCCGACGGAAGGACAGACCCCACGGCTCCTGGCAGGCCTGATGAGCACTGGACACAAAGCCCCAGCCAAGAGACGACGCGTCCATGAACACATTGAGCGAGAGCTCGGGTAGGAGCCAAGGCACTGAACCCCGAAAATCTTGAAGAGGAAGCCAGCGACACAGCAGCCGATGCAAGGCCCCTAGAGGCTAAACCCAGCGGTCATGAGAGAGGCAGAAGGGACGTTCCCGTAGGAACTAGAACAGCTGACGAAGCAAAACCCAACCGGGAGACCCCAGAAACAAGCAAAGAAGAGAGCGCAGCCGAAGTAGAGACTCCGGAGGGAGAGACAAGGAAGCGGTCCCAGAGTCCCACAAAAGACCCAGCCAAGTCCGAACCTGAGAGGGAACCAGATGGAACTTCTGCCAGTTTGCAAGGAACCCGAACCCGGCATACTGGGAAAAACAAATCCCTGTTGAGCAGACACACGGACTGGCTGAGAGCCCAGACCAGCCAGTCATGGAGGTAGACCAGCACCCGAAGAGATGCATAATGGCCACCATGACCCGGGTGAGGCATGTCAACACGCAAGGTGCCAGGTTCAACCCGAATATGAAACAATGAAAGCGGTAACTGAGATGCCCCATAACAAAACCGAGCCAATCTCGGAACCCTGGATGAATCGTGACATGCTAATACGCATCCTGGAGGTCCAGACACACCATTCAAGCGCCCTGCTCCAAAAGAAACCAGACCTGGGATAGAGTAGTCAACCAAATAGAGGGGCAAAAGACCCAGGGGTTCAGACGGAACAAGCCCAGAATGAATCGCAGGTCTGCACAGTCCCGTTTTCGGGACTGGGAACAGACGGGAAACCTATCCGAGGGATGTTGTCGTTTCAACCACACCCAAGTGTACCCACTCCAAGACGACCCAACAGAGCACAGGAGAAGAGGCCTGCCCCGCCAGCCTGAGCAGCAAAAGACCAACACAGATAGAACCCAAGATGACGTTTGGAAGATAACCCCAAGCCCTAAGGCTGGTACTTACAGGGCACTTAGGGAAGAGAACCCCAAGTGTATGCAGCCCAAGTACCTGTGATGATTACTCCCAGCTCATGCACCACCCTAAAGACAGCACTAAGGCACAAGGCACAGCACTGGGAACAAGAAATAGGAGCTGGAGTCACACGACGAAGCCTCAAACACATCAGCCAAGAACTGGGGTGTGGTAGCCAGGGCGAGGGGTCTGGGGATCCCCTTTCCCCCTCCCAGGAAGAGGGGAGCTGCACAGACGGCGTTGCGGCAGGGTGGTGACGTCATGCTTGTTTACTTTTTTTTTTCTTTGGGGAGTTCTGTCCACTCGTTTGCCTTTTAGTCATAGTTTCAACCAGAATAGGGGTTTGTTTTGGGATGCTTACCTTTCTGGGTGCCTGACCCAGTCAATGGCAGGCAAAGAATGTTCCAAATCACATGTGCCATTCTATAGGCCATTGCTCCTGGTGCCCCTCTAGGGGTCCAGGTTCTGGCTCGTAGTCCCCAGTAGGCCTAAGAACTCCATTTACACTGACTGATGCCAAAGTCTAATATATCCATATCAGTCTGGATAATCTCTGGGGAGCCGACGGGGCTCCCCACAGAAAGTAGAATTTTAGTAAATGTTTTTGACTGATGGTGTTATTATCAAACATAAAATTAGGAACCCAGTTTCCTGCAAATTTTAAGTGGGGAAGGCAGCTACCACACAAGGTAATAGAGAAGGGAAGGAGTTACACAACTAACTGCCCTTTCCATGGCATATAATTGTATCCTTAAATATATAACATTAGGCAACATTTATTTTATTCTGCACATTACAAATCTGCATACGGCCTCTCACACAGTTAACAGAGAAATTGACAGAGAAACCTGGTATAATACAATTAACAGTTTAATGCAGTCTCTCCAGTACAGAAAATCAAATAAGACAACTTACTTGTTAAATACTCCCAGCCAGAGAACGTTGACGATGCACTAACATACAGTCCAAACCAGAGGAGAATCTCTCCAAAATAGTTAGGGTGACGTGATAAATACCACAGCCCACTCTTGATGAATTTGTCCTGGTAATGACACAAAAATGTTATTTTCAAACGTAACATACATTTGAGATAATTTAATATACAAATACATACAGTACATGTGATATCATCAATGTTGTATGCTTAAGAAGTTTCATATACTAGCATAAATGAATTTCATTAATGTATTTTAACATGTAATTTTTGCCATACTATTCAAGGTATAATGTGGTTATCATCACACATTGATTTTAACCATTATTCTCTAGTTTCATACGAATGATGTTGCAGACGATGAGAGAATGTGACTGAAGATGTAATGACCGAACCACACATCAGAAAAATGGAGAAACTATGACGTTTTCGTTTGTCCAGAACTATTAATGACAGTGGTCCAGGACATACCAAAACGTCATTTCTCCATTGTCTGATGTGTAGTTTTGACATCACCAATGATATTGATATGCATATAATAGCTCCATATGGATGTAGTGGAGTTTACTGTTACCCATGAAAAAATTGTGCTATCGTTTCATAATCGTTTACTATGCAAATGTGATTATCGTCACAAATGTTACTATGCCAATGCGATAATATAGCATAAAATTCCATTATAATTACATGATATATACAGTATACAGATTTTGTTCATGTGGTTTTCATAGTTCTATATGGTTGTAATGAAGTATACCAGGTCAACAAATATTATTTGAACATAATAAAGGCACTGTAGAAGGCCTACTGGCTGATGAGCGAGTTTGGATGGATAGGAGCTGCCCTGTCTGGCCCAGTACGCTTTCTTTGACAAGAAACGGAACTAAACTACAGCTGGCAACTTTGGAAGTCTGAATTCACAGACATCAGTGACAGGACTGAGGCAAAGATGGTGTGAAGGCTGGGAGCTCCTGGGGTACTGCCATCTGTTGGTGCTCAGTCATAACTAGAGGGGGGTTTGTGCTAGTTTCTAAATGGAGCCTGCGGAGTTGTTTGTCTGTTTCGGTACTTCGTTTTCTTGGACCCTTGCAGTTGTCTGAATTGTTTCATTTACATTTTGGATGTGTTCTTGGTGTGGGTGATTTGTAACAAGCCTCTGCTCTCTGTGCCTCTATAAGGGGGCCCCAGTTTCTGGCTCCAGCCTCTGGTAGGCCATACAGAACTCTAATGGCAGACAGACGCAACTCAGCAAGATAGCTTTAGGGAGCCACCATTCAGCTCCTCCAGAAAAAATGTGGGGGGACTTGAACAAGCCCAGATAATGGTAGAGGAGAACCCCCAGTAAACACTGGTAAAAAGGGCTAAGGAGGAGAGTCTGCAAGCATGACCCTCTACATGGGCAAGCAGAAACCCTAAGAGTACTAGCTCAAGAAAAACACACCCACTCCAAGACCTGCAGAGCTACTCACAGTAAAATAGGAAGACCAGACAGCTTTGGAGGGAAACCCCCACTTACAAAGACAAGGGAAGGGACCCCAACAGACTTCTGGACAAATGCTCATGTTTCTTTACCTTATTAGCTGGATTATTTCTAAAAGTTGTCTTCTGATAGTCAGCCACAACTTCAATCAGGAAACCTGTGGCCCATATGCCCCAGCCCACATAGTCTCTGGCTCCGAGGGGACGCTGCCGGGGAGACAACACTGCCAGCACACTTGGCAGAACTGTCACCAACACCCACACTCCTGTCCAGGGTTTAATGGCCTGGTTGTTATTTAATGGTCAAACAGTCATACAATGCTAAAACTTTATCACCGTAATCAGAATTACAGTACCTGTACGTCTAATAATCAATTTTGAAGTAAACAAAATTAATATAAAATTCAGCTTCAGAATGACATACGTGTTCTGAATCCTCGAGATGTTACATAAAGTATATGGACACTTCTCAGAAGGGGAGGATTACATATATAGACATTCCCCAAGAAGTTATATTTATGTTCATTTCCTGTGGGGTTGCAAACGCTGTCATTCTCTGAAGAGAGCTACACAAAAGGACACACCTTTCAGGGAACTAAGTACAGTATATATAAAAGACAATTCACGAGTTAAATACAGTAATATTGTATAAGGACATTTAAAGCAAAATTTAATGAATGCACTCATTTCTCTTCTGCTGCACATTTGTTATGGCAAGTTATATCCCCCCCCCCTCCAGTGCAATTTGTTGAAGAAAAAACCAGCATTGAATGTAATGAAATTCCATTTTCTGGGTGAGCCCCGGAGGCTCCCTGGAGCTTATTGGGCTAATGTATTTTATATTAGACCAGGACATTAGCTATGGAGTTCGGACCTCCCAAGGACCACGAGCCAGAACTTCAGAGAGGTTTCAGGGAGCAATGGCCCAGGAAAACCCCCTTGTGGTTGGGGTTTTCCTTATCTGCCATCGACCGGGGTTAGGCACCCAAAAAGGTAGGCACAACAAAAGAAACCCCACATGGTGAGAAACTAATAACAAAAACAGAACAGAGGTAGAATTCCCTTCATTCCCAAGGAAACAAGCAAACAAACAAACGTAACACACTACTGCTGCACCGCTCGTTTGCGCAGCCCTCCCCTCCCCTCCCCGAGAGGGGGAGGGGAGGCCCCCGGACCTCACCGTGCCGGCTGCATAGCACTCCAGTTCAGAAGCTAAGCTTCAACCAATGCAAAAAAAATGCCGACCGGTGGGAGTGAGGGTTGCCAGGGAGCCTCTGGGGTTCACCCAGAAAAACAGCGTTTCATTACATTCAACACTAGTTTTCTGAGGGGAGCCCTTATGGCTCCCAGGAGCTACATACCCAGAAAGAAGGAAAAAGACAGGGATGTGGGAAAAAGGGAGGGAGGGAGGGATGCTGGGAAGATCAGATCAGCATCCAGATGCTGGGGACCCGGATGCTTCCCAGCATCCCTCCCTCCCTGACCGGAGGGAGGGATGGATGCTGGGAAGCCTCCGGGTCTCACCCAGAAAATGGCCTTTCATTACATTCAATGCTGGTTTTCTGGGGAAAGCCCTGTTGATGCCCCGGAGCTACCTCATTATTATATATAATAATAATAATAATAATAATAATAATAATAATAATAATAATATAATAATAATAATAATAATAATAATGAACTATCAAGAGCAAACAAAAACCTACCTTGCAAAGTCCAAACAAAAAGAAAGCGAGATGGATTTCCACGCGTCTTGTCAAATCGACGGTCTTTCCCATCTTTTACTATGCGGATGAAGAGGAACAGCCCCAATCTTGGAAAACAGCAAGTACACTATCTCAGTACAAACTTTTTTCTTCATATTTATGTGGGAATAGATATGTACACAATTATATTATCAAGGCAGAAAAAGGATTATACTTTATATTATTTACAAAATCCAATTTTCCATCATAAAACCAGTGTTGAATGTAATGAAATGCCATTTTCTGGGTGAGCCCCAGTGGCTCCCTGGAGCTATCAGACTGATAAGCGATATATATTAGTCTGGGGCATCAGTCAATTGGAGTTCAGCTTACCGGGGATCACGAGCTAGAACCTGGCCCCCATCCCCTTAGAGGGGCACAGGAAGCAATGGCATATGGAAACCCCCATGTGGTTGGGGGTATTCAGTGTCTGCCATCGATCCGGGTTAAGCACCCAGAAAGGTAGCCACAACAAAACAAACCCCACAGTAAGAAAATTGCAGCCGAAGATGGAACAGAGAGGCAGAACTCCCTCAACACCCAAGGAAATATCATACGTCATACACTGCCTCCGCACCACTTGTCCATGCAGCCATTCCCTCCCCGATAGGGAAGTAACCCCGGATCTCCTGCGCCGGATACTTACATCTCCAGTTCGTAGGCTGAGCATCAAAAGCAAAATGAAACCGCCAACTGGAGGGAGGGTGGATGCCAAGGAGTCTTCGAGGCTCACCCAGAAAATGGCGTTTCATTACATTCAATGCTGGATTTCTGTGGGGAGCCCCGTTGGCTCCCTGGAGCTATTTAACCAAAGACAAGTAAAAGAGGAACTTATCTGGGAGGAATCCTCAACTTGAAGTCGAGACAACTGGCTGCAACCTGCAACCCAAAGTCACAAACGAATGACCAGGACCAGGAATGATGACCAAATAACGGGTGGCCATAACCCAGTTCGACTTTCAAAATTCCCATGACCCAATGTCAGTCCAAGAGATGTTGTCGAACACGGCAGCCAAAGCAGCAAACTTACAAACGCCATGGGCACGAGGATAGACTGCAGGCTGGCTAGACTTAATAACCCTGCAGACGACCTGGGAAACCTGAGCCCTGAAACAGAGAATGAGGGAAACCGGATCACCCTAAAGCGCGTCCCCGGCCAATGAGGCCGAGGGACGCGCCAGATAATGGCAAAGGCTTCACCATTAATGGCTTCGCCAGATAATGGCGAACCATTAATGACCCAAGGGGCTCCTCCAGAAAACCACCGTCTCATTCTTTGCTAGAAGAGAAGGAAACCAGGTTGGCTCAGGCAGCACATGAGCAGGCTGGAGATGAAACAAATCACAAGAAAGCTTACGGAACATGGTGGAACTGACATCCAAGCTCAAGTTGAAGCGGCTCTGCCAGCACTGCATGATACGAGGTGACAGTATTCAGAATCAAACAGCGGTCCTGAAAAAGCCGAGGAAGAAAGAAAGAAAGGAAAAACAACATGATCAGAAACAAAAGACAATCTACATGCTAATGTAGAGCATGTAGATTGTCTGACATGCTAATGTCAGACTTTGGCATCAGTCATGTCTATGGAGCTCTTATGGGCCTACCGGGGACCACGAGCCAGAATCTGGCCCCCTCTAGAGGGGCAAGGGGAACAATGGCCTATAGAAACCACCATGTAATTGGAAGCATTCTATGTCTGCCATCGACTGGGTTAGGCACCCAGAAAGGTAGGTGTCCCAAAACAAACCCCTATTCTGGTGAAAATTGCAACCAAAAGCTGAACGAGTGGACAGAACTTTCCAAACAAAAACGAGCAAACTAGTATGATGTCATCTGTCATCGTGCCGCTGTCTGTGCAGCCCCCCTCCCCGGGAGAGGGATGGGCAGCCCCAGACCTACCGCGCCGGTGATCCACACCCCAGTTCTGAGGCTGGATGTCAAAACACGTGAAAAAAACGCCGACTGAAGGGAGGGAGGGATGCCGGGGAGCCTCCGGGACTCACCCAGAAAATGGCGTTTTATTACATTCAACGCTGGTTTTCTGGGGGGAGCCCCTATGGCTCCCCAGAGCTAACTACCCACAGAGGAAAAGAATAGAGACTTACCCAGGAGTCGGTCGCTGCACACTACTCAACTCGAAACCGAGACAACTGACTGCATCCCCCGACCCAAAGCGACACAGGCCCGACCAGGCCCAGGAAAGTTTACAAAGTAACGAGCAACCAGGACCCTGTTCGACCGCCAAAATCCCCGCCTCCGAATGTCAGCCCAGGACATATTGCCAAAGACGGTGGCAAGAGCCGCGAACTTGCGGACGTCATGGGCACGGGGATAGACCGCAGGCTGGCTAGCCTTAATAACCCTGCGGACGACCTGGGAGACTCCCACCCTCGAACAGAGAAGAAGGGAAACTGGATCAACCCAAAGTGCATCCACGGACACAGAAGCTGTGGCGTGCAAATAACGGCGGTGAGTTGCAACCGAACACAAAACATGATGCACCCCCGGCCAAACCAACCAAGAATCAACAACCCGGGGGACCCCTCCAAAACGTAGCAGTCTCATTCTTCTCCAGAAAAGAACGAGAAGGCTGCAGACGAACAAACCGATCACCCCAACCAAAGGCCGTCGGCCAAGCCGTTGGACACTGCCCGCAGGTGAACTGCTAGGAAAGCCAAACTCCGAGAACTCAGCAGACGAGTCACCCGAAGTGACTAGCGCCAAAGAGCCAAGGACCGCATTGAACCCCCCCGGTTCAGACAATGAACCACCGGGGAGCAGTCCAAATGGAGCCGGATCGTCGACCCATGGGCGACTCGAATTCTCTGAAGAGCAAACCACACCGCCGCGAACTCCCGCACAGTGCTGTGGGATCGACGGAAGGATGGACCCCACCATCCCTGGCTGGCCTGGTGAGCACTGGTCACAAAGCCCCAGCTGAGAGACGACGCGTCCATGAACACATCGAGCAAGGGCTCGAGTAGGCGCCAAGGCACTGAACCCCGAAAAACCCGAAGAGGAAGCCAGCGATGCAGCAACTGATGCAAAGCTCCCGGGGTCCGAACCCAGCGATCGCGAGAGGGGCGGAAGGGACGTCCCCGAAGGAACCAGAACAGCCGACGAAGTCAAACCCAACCCAGCGGGTAGACTAGCATCGCGAAGTTCAAGCTCCCGCACAGACCCTCAAGCAACCGCCGGGTGACCCAGGAGCCCCCCTGAAACAGGCACAAGCGGGACCGCAGCCGCAGAAGAGACTCCGGAGGAAGAGACAAGGAAGTGGTCCGAACGTCCCACACAAGCCTCAGCCAGGTCTGAACCTGGGAGGGAACCAGATGGGACTTCCTCCAGTTCACCAAGAACCCAAATCCGGCGAGCCGAGAAAGAACCAGATCCCTGGCTAGCAAACAAGCGGACTGGCTGGGAGCCCAAACCAGCCAGTCGTCGAGGTAGGCCAACACCCGAACACCTAACAGACGCAGACGGGTCACCACGACCCGCGTAAGGCGCATGAAAACCCAAGGTGCCAGGTTCAAACCGAACGGAAGACAACGAAAGTGGTAAGCATGAAGCCCCACAACAAAACTGAGCCAGTCCCTGAACCCCGGATGAATTGGGATGTGCCAATAAGCGTCCCGGAGGTCCAGGGACACCATCCAAGCGACCGGCTCCAACAGGAGCCGAACCTGGGACAGCGTGGTCATTCGAAAGGAGGGGCAATGAACGCAGGGGTTCAGACGGGACAAGTCCAGACTGAACCGCAGGTTCGCGCAGTCCCGTTTCAGAACTGGAAACAGATGAGAAACCCATCTGAGGGACGTCGTCGTTTCGACCACGCCCAAGCGAACCCACTCCAAGATGATCTGACAGAGCGCAGGGGAAGAAGCCTGCCCCGCCAGCCCCAAACCCCCCCCCCCCCCCCACGCAGGGAAAACGGCCACCCAACGCCACCGGAGGCCATGCGAAACAACCTGAAATGCCCACAAATCATGGAACCAGGCGTGAGCTAACAGCGCAAGCCTCCCCCCCATTGCCCCATCAATGGGGTGAACCGTGAAAGGGCTGGCGCCCCTTACGAGACCCAGAACCTTGCACAGAGCGAACACCGCGCCGACCAGATGATGGTGGGTCCGAAGGAGGAGCCAAACCCGAACCTGACACCAGTGGCCTACCACGACGAGAGGAACCCCCTAGCCTTGGCACAATCCTTCTGGGAAGGCCCACCATGGGACCCCCGGAAAACCAGCAAGTCCGACATAGGACGGCAAGAAGCCGAAGCAGCCTGAATATACTGCGCAACGGCTGAAGCCTCAAACAAGAGAGGGCAAAAAGGGGAAGACATCCTAAGAGCCAAGGCCCAAGTGGATTCCACAGAGGACGCAAGCACCATCTGCCGACACATGAGCCGGGAGGCATAAAACAGAGCTACTGCATCCCGCAAGATCAGTGCGAAAAGCTTCAGCAAGGCAGTCGACGAGCGAGCCGCCGAGGTCAAGGTGCCAGACCCTGGAACAGTCCCAAACGTCCCCACATCCTCCGTGAGCCAGTCAGAAGACAGCTCCAGGAGGGAAAAGAAGCGCAAGGCCGCAACCAAAAGGCCCTGAGCGCGCTAGTCCTCCGCCACCTGCGCCGAGGAAAAGAGGGGAACTTGCACATGGAGCTGAACAACACCAACATCCCGGGGAAGGGCAGGAGCAAACAAGCACTCATTGAGGTGCTCAAGGTCACCCCCCCGGAAAACCTGAAGCACCGTTGAAGCCTCCCGCCACTCAAGCGTGCAGGAACAGCAGGAGTGCCAAGCCTCAAAGATAAAGACAGGACAGTTCGCCAGCCAGGATGACTCCAGAACCTCGTAACGGAGCCAGAAAGGGAACGAAGTCCCAAACCTGAAACCCGAGGGATCCATTGCCGAGGCATAATCCAGGTCACGCAGGAGGTTTGCCGCAAGGGCCATCCGCACCGCAGCAGGTTGGATGCGATAAGCCAAACACCTCCGGAAAGACAGAACCGAAGCACCCGGGGGAACACTGAACTGAACCAGGGAAGGGGCAGACACCAAATCTAACTCGTA